GTTGTTTTCACAAACCTTTTGCATGGATACTGGGGAATTGAAACCACCCCCAAACAAACACACACTACCTGCAATTGCATGCCTTGTTTGATTTCCAGAGGCCCTCATTCTGATGAACTATTCTGATTTCAAACTTTCAGCCCCCTTTTTTGTTGTTTGTTTGTTTTACCTCCTTTTGAGATAAACAAGTGGCATGGGTCTTTGTGAAGCCCTGCTTTGGCTCAGTGATGTCATTGTGGCTGACAAGACAAATGGAGGATCCTCTCTGGAAAAGGAATATAGGGGGGGAAAAACAACTCCTCTCAATGAGGCAGGCAATTGCAGTAGTTCTCTCCCTAACCTGATTTCCTGCTCCCTGCTGATGTGGGCATGATACACTTTACTGCAAACCTGGTTATCCTGGGAGCCCCACTTTCCCTTTTTTTTCTGGGGGATCTTGGGGATCCCACTCAGAGTTATTGTTGACCATCAGCAACTGGTGACAACAACAGAGAAAGAAAGAACAGGGCTGAAAAGGCAGTTGCTGAGCAAGATTTTATTGACATTTCCAAGGGAATTCATGTCTTTTCAAAAGCGCATATCACCTGCTGCCAACTGGAAAGTCTTGTGTCCATTATCTTCTGGATACAAGAGGACAGAATTTCCCAGGGCATGGCCCCCTTTTCAGACCCAGGGGTGGGGGGTGTGAAAGCATTTTACATTCTCTTGCTATATTCCAGGGGTTTGAATGAGAACCAGGAGGTGCCTTGCTCCAGATTCTTTTTTTTTGCCCCCCCCCCCACCTCTGGAAAGTGACAATGATGGGGGGCTTTATTTCCTGCTTGCTTTCCTGAATGAAAAATTCACGCCTTGTGTGTGTGTGTGTGTGTGTGTGTATGTGTGTGTGTGGGTTGTATGGAAAATTGAACTGCTGAAGGGGGTGGAGTGATTTGCCCAGGGTTCCCACTTTTCCTCTGGAAAGAGGATTTTGCCTCCGGGGGCTTTTAAAATTGCTTGGTGGAAAAGTCTGGGCTAGTGTTTTTACATGGAAAAAGGGAAAGGGGGAGGGGATCCTTCAGGTTTTATGAACACACTAGCTCCAGGGGGAAAGGAAATGGTGGGCCATCAAACCAGAGGAAAAAGGGGGGGCTGAGAGGCCAGCTTTTCTACTTCCTGTGTGAGGGGCAGTGCAGAAAGTTTCCATCTCCCCTCATATACTATTGCCCTCTGGAAATTCCCAAAGCAGCTTTCCCCCCCACCTTTCAACCCTCCTATATCTTGGCCAAAGGGAGAAAATTGCATTATTAATGTATTCATGACTTCCACATTTTCTGAAAGGAAGAACAAACTTTCCAGATCACTGTTTCTAGGATCTATGTATGTGTACAGGGAACAGGATATCATCAAAATTCTGCACTCTTACTATTCCCATCTTTGAATATACAGTATTCTGCATGGTATTTGGGAATGCAGGTCTATAGGGGATGATCCCTCTTGTGCTTTCATCTGGATAAAGGATCCCTGTATGAATCCCTTTATTATGAAAATAGGCATCATTTGTTGTAATAAAAAACAAACTTTAGGTGAGTCAATGCTTGGCTTTCTGAAGTTTATGTGACTATATCTGAAACCTGAAATAACATTGTCTGCTGTTGTAAGATATCTTTCAGGGGAGCTGAATGAGATCCAATTTCAATTTTCTTGATATCCTGAATAGGTTTGATAATTTTTTTTTTGAAATTTAGCTTCCTAAATTTCAATGTGTTATAGTATTTGCAAAAGTAATTTAGAACATTCTTCTTTCCAGTTATTTGCTTCCTTCATTTGCACAAGATTCCAGTATCTGTTTCTGGCTGGGAATTAATCACATTTCCAGATAATTTGAATAAGATCCCTTTCTTTCTTCAAGTTTCCATGCATTTTCCTGTTCAAAGTTTTGTAAAAGTCTTTCAAACTCAACTTTCATTGCTTGAAATGTATCTTTCATGGCTTGAAATTCAATTTTCAATTCTTGAATTTCAACTTTCAATGCTTGAAATTTAACTTTCAAACTGAAGAATTTAACTTTCCAACTGAAGAATTTAACTTTCCAACTGAAGAATTTAACTTTCCAATTGAAGAATTTAACTTTCCAAGTGAAGAATTTAACTTTCCAACTGAAGAATTTAACTTTCCAACTGAAGAATTTATGAAAGGTTGACTTCTTAAATTGAAAGGTTGACTTCTTAAATTGAAAGGTTGACTTCTTAAATTGAAAGGTTGAGAAGAATTTAACTTTCCAATTGAAGAATTTAACTTTCCAACTGAAGAATTTAACTTTCCAACTGAAGAATTTAACTTTCCAACTGAAGAATTTAACTTTTCATGTTTGATATATGAACTTTCCATCTTGAGAATTCAATTTTATGACCCTTCCTATAAAAACTAGAAGATGCATGTGGCTCTAAATATCTTTCCCAAGTGTAAAATACTGTAAAACTGAATAAGATCCCTTTCTAGTTTCCATATATATCAAGTGAAAATGCTCTTAAAATATTCCAACCTGGTTTCAGCTTTCTAGAAGGGGATCAGTTGGATAAGGGATCATTCCTCAAGAGATATTCAATGGGTTATTTCTGTCTGATGAAATTATTTGTCCCTGCTCATGCTGATTTTAAAATTTCCTGTGACTCTCAACACTCTGGAGGATGTTGAATTAAGGCACTTTCCAAGTGATCTCTGTAGAGAGAGGATCCTTCACAGGGCTGTGTTAGTATATTTATTTGGCTCCTGGAAAAATAATCCCCTCTTGTTCTCAAGGACTTTGTGAGAGGTCCAATGGTGCATGTGCCTGATGACTTTGCAGGATCTGGTAAACCTGGCGATATCTGACTTTATGTCTGTTCCCCCCCCCCCCACCAAAACACTCCAAATTGCACAAAAAACACTTGGCTTCCAGTATATAAACCTGTGCTTTCTATAATCACTGCAGAATAATGTTTGTTCACTTTCCAGAGGGTGAAGGGGACTGTAGGTGAGTCTTTCTGATAATTGTGCTTGGGGGGGATCCTAAGCTGGACGTGTGCCTGTGGGGGGGATCCCAGGTTGTACATGTATCAATAAGCACAGGGGGGGGATTGATTTTTCCTGGCACCTTTTATGCACTTGGACGTGAGTCACTGCCTTTTAGCGCTGATCGACCCAGCTAGAAAGCGTTTGTCTGGGATTTTCTTGGGCGAGTGCCTGTGTTTATTGATCCAAAGGATCTCCTCCTCCCCCCCCCCCCTTATGTGAAAATCTGTTTTGGGGCCTCTGACGTGATTTTCTGCTTGTACCTCTTATTGTTCTTCTCTTTTCTATTACTGTGTTTTTTTTCTTCTTCTGGAAAGATGGGGGGGAGAAGAGGAATCAATTTGCCCCCAAAGTATGGGGGAAAAAGGAGGGGGGGGGGGGGCATCAAGTTATCATTCGCTGTCTGGAAAAAAAAGCTCTTTCTTTATTTTTTTTTCAGGACCCCATTTTTCCAGATCCTCCCCTTTGATTCCTTTCCTTCTCCTCCATTTCCTCTCCTTAAATAGTTCTGCATTCCGTTCACGAGTCAATTTCCCCATGCTATGGGGGGTCACTAAAACTGCCACTTTCCAGACAAATCCATCAGGGGAACTTTCTCTGGAAAGAGTTTTTTCTTGCTTTTCTATCTGCAGTAAAAGTTTGGTGATTGTGTAAAATTGTGTTACGGTGCAATGGACAGAATATAAATTTTGGCATTCCAGTGAAAAAGAAACCTGAGGCTCATGAAAATTTGCTGGAAATTCTTTCTTGGGACTTCTGGAAAGTAATGGCATTCTTGGAGTAGTAGAAATTCTTATCAACCCTCTATACAAAATTACTTCATAAAATTTTTAGCTTGTAAGCATTTTGTGTGGCAGAGCTTTCCAGACAAATTCATCAAGGGAACCAATTGTTAATATTGTTAAAACAATTTGTCTGAAAATATTGACATTTTTCCATGACTGCAAATTTATGTTTAGATAACTTGAGAATCTGAGGGCCTGGAAAAATTTAGGAACAGAAATTTGAAAATCATACTTTTTAAGCACTGCATTGTATGTGGAAGAACTTTCCAGATAAATCCATCCACTCTTACTCTTGAGAAAATGTATTTTGCCTGAAAATGTTGACAGTGTTGAGTGAATGCAAATAATATGTAAGCCATAAAAATCTGAAGCCTGGGAACATTTCTAGAAAGGCTTTCCTAAGTAAACTAGTTTTTAAATTTTTAAAATAAAAATGGACCAAATCTTTTAGAAATAAGCCACTGTAAGTAAATCTGAGAAAAATTGTGGAAAATGAACCCTCATCTGTTAATGTTTTTTTTTGTGGAGGATGAGTATCAAAGGCAAAGGCAATTTCTGACATGAAAGCACTGCTTTCTAGAGTGAAGATCAATCTGTCAAGTGCAGGTTTGTGGAGGCCTTTGAGAATCAAACCTGTCTTGGCTATAAATCACTGCCTGATGGGGATCTATTTTAAGGCATTAGTGGAAGGCTTTTCTATATCTAGGAGCATATGGAAATTTTTTTTTGTGCACATCAAAACATGTCTAGGAATTATTATTTACAGATATGATCTAATGTTTAGATCAGAATCAATAAATCTAAAATTGAATGAATTTTCCATTTCCACCAGAACTCCCCCTGTTCTCTGATGGCTGATTCCAGAGTTCATCAAGAAAAGCTGACTTGGCAAGAGAGTTAATTACTCCAAGTTAAACTTTCCAGAAGACCTGCTGCACAGCAGGAGGTGCCTGCTGAAGTTTCAGCTCAGAATATATCTCAATGGTCTCCTTGGAAACTCCCTGGAGAAAATTGAAGCCCTCAAGAAAGATCAATTACTCACACAGTGCATGTAAAAAGTTCAATAACCAGCAGGGAGGGGGGGAAAAAGAAGCTGTGCCAGTTGTGAAAAGCCCTGTCTTAATCTTTAATCCCCTGCTCCCCTTTTTGCCCCCCACCTCCGACCTCCCATTTTTACCCCCAACTGCTCAATTTTCCACCTCAAAGGAAGGGGGGATCCTCACAGATATTAATTTTCACAGAGGGGAGATGGAGAATGGGAGATGGAAATCAGGAAGGGGAATAGTTTCCTGAACTTTAGATTAAACTGGTGAGAGGAGTGCTGGGGATCGAACTGTGTATTAAAAACAGTGGCAAGATCCTCCAGGGGATCCTGCTTCATTTCCCTACACAGTATAGAGGATCAGGGGTATGAGGCCCTCCCTAATCCAGAAAATTGGTTGTGTTCACAAGCTCCTTCAGCGTTTTTCCATCAATCCTCCAAGGATCCCTTGTTGTTCCTTCAAAATTATCCAAGCAGAACTGTTTGGTTTTCAAAGATCCCCCTGTTTTCCCTATTTCCAGAGTATCTTGTGTGTGATGGGAAATGATGGACAAGTGGGTTGATGAGAGTGGAGAAACAATGTCTCCTGGGATGGAAGACACCTATGACACCTGTGGGTGCCAGGGATCTCAGCTTGGCAATTCCATGAGATCCTTTCCAGATATCCTGTCACTGCCTCCTCCCCCTCCTGTGCCAGCATCTCTGTTTGACACATGGATGCCCCAGGACACATCAGGAAACATTTCCTGCCACTTTTGCCACCTGGCTGGAAGTGGGGGTGACTCAGGACTGGTGGAAATATTTTCCAGAGGTTTGTTGTTGATTTTTTTCTAAAAAAACATTTGTTTTTTTTACATTGATTGCACCTTTTTTTTTGCAGGAGAGACCCCCAATGATGTTCTGTTTGTGATAGTAACTGCCTGCTGCATAGGAGGAGCTCTGCTTGGGGTCTTCATAGCCTTGGCAGCTTTCAAGCAACACCAGTGAGTTCTAGAAAGTGGCCAAAACTTGCTCCCCCTGGAGCCCTATTGAGCCTCATCCCCCCACCCCATTCCCCATGAAAACATGCTTCTAGCTGGCTGACTTTTCTGTTCTCCCCCACCTAACAGGAAGAAACTTGTCACAATGGGGGCCACAAAGCGCACAACAGAGGCCAGTCTTGGATTGTCCCCCACCAAGTCAGAGTCTTCCCTGGTGCTGCCCAGGATTCATTACCATTCCAGACTGGAGTCCACCTGTTCAGCAGTACACTGGGTGTCCAGAAGGTACACCAACACTGAAAACCATTACACAACCATAGAAAGTCTCCCAAGGGAGAACCTGCTCACTGGAGAGGAGTTGTATGAGGTGGATTACCACCAAAGGTCAGTGCATGCATGCATGCAAGCAAGTAATGCACACATTTTTTTCTTTTACTTGATATTTGTTTTGTTCTAGGCTTCACAGAGACAAGAAGACTTTGATCATGAGGCCAAACAGGTCCTCTTCCCTCCTACTTGTCAGACAGCATGGGCACATTCAGAGGTATCCTGGAAACTACCTGGGGATGCAAGTGTATGAGAACCCAAGGACTGTGTGGGGTACACAAGGGATGCAGAGGAGACCTGCTCCCCCTTGTCAAGCACCACCACCACCCCCACCCCCTTATGAGTCACCACTTTGTACCCCACGCTTTACCCACAATACCTGAGGGAAATTCCACATTCCTCTTTCTAGAATCAAAAAGCAATGGAGCATTTTAGAGACCCATGGAAAGGCTTCCCCCTTTTTTATATATGCATTAGTCCTGGGTGAAATAGTGTGGAAAAATTTTTTCCTGTTTTTTTTGGGGGTGATTCAAAAATTGTGTCAAGCTTTTCTTGCCTGAATAAAAAGCTTTTTGGAGGAAAAAAAACCCTGGGTTTGGTGTGTTATTTTCATGGCAATGATCCAAGGGCTCACAGGAAGCAGAGTGTTAACCCCTGTCAATAATTCACAACAGAGGCAGTAATTCATGTTTCTAGGGGATCCCGGGGATCCTTGTTGTCAATGGCAAGGAAGATGGATGCCTGGTCCAAGAATAAGGAACTCAGTGGGGAGGAAAAGAGATCCAATGGAGCAGAAACTAGGGGATCTTTTGTGGTGTCCACTTGAAAATTGCTGGTGCTTTCCAGGGGATCCATTTGTCTCTCCAGGACATCCTCAGCTGACAGTATTTGTTACCATGTTTCTATGAGAGATTGCAGCTCTAAATCACTCTCCCCCTCCAACATTTCTCAGCCATCAGCCCCTGTTATTGTTTCCAACAAGCACGTTCTTTGATCTGGAAAGTGTTGGGAACAGGGGAGATAAAAAAAGACAGGATGTCACCCAGGAGTCACATGTATGTAAAGGAGAAGGAGATTCATTTGACAGAGAGGATCCAGGACGTGGTGGGAATATTCAGGAGATCCTCAGAGGATCCTGGAGATCAGAAGCAGCTTGAGAGAAAACCTAAGAGAATATTGCCTGATGAGATGTCAAGGCGTGGAATTGAAATGCTCTCCAGATTTCCTTCCATGTCCTGCACCTTCCAAGAGGATCCTCGCAGGATCCCACGTCTTTGATGTGCAAGGTCAGGCGGAGGGGGGCTTTAATTTACAGGCTTGCTTGTGACATCAATGATGAGGGCTTCTTTTTTTCTGGATCCCTTTATTGATCCTCTTTCAATTGATGTGGTTCTTTCTAGGAAAGGTGATGGAAACACCTGGGAGGATCCTACAGTGAGGAGTATGTTTCCTCGCCATACAAGTTTTCCAAGGATCCCCCTAAGGATCCCATCATCATTTTCTTTGATGTTCTGCAGTTGCATAAAGGTCAAAATAAGCATTTCCACCTTGTTTCTATAGAAAGACCCCCTTTACATTTCTCCTGCATTTGATTCTAGAAAAAATATGCCACCAATTGCTCTCCTGTTTTTCTGCATCTTTTCATGTGCTGTTCCAAGAAGAGTTCTTCAAAACTAGTTTTCATTTGAAAATAATGTATCCAAGCTAGAAATCTATAATGGTGCTATGCAAAATATGTTTAAAAGGAATGTGTAGTTCCTAGAAACTGCACAAATGTGAGAAGCTCATCAGTTGCAGGCTAGTCCCATTTGAATCTGGTTTTTAAATAAGAAAGATATTTAGGACTGCCAAAAATAATTTATATTACTTTCAAAGAAAGCATACCAGCTTATTTCCTGATGAAGATAGTTTCCAGGAGCTGGATGCTTGTCTGGAAATGAAAACTTAAAATACATTGCATTACTTTTAAAAATTAATTTAAATACCAATGTAATTGAAAACCAAATGATTCCCATCTACTGTATTTGCAGATTTTCAAAAATAAAGTGTTGACAAGGTTAATATTTTGCAGGCAATTTTTTTTCCTTCCTCAGAGGATATTTTCATCCTGGAAAGCCTCTGCTGGAAGCAGGAGAGTATTTTTGCAGGCTTTGGTGCAGAAACTGGAGCACAAAGAAGTGATCAAGTACCAGGGTGAGGCTTTTTGAATGCACATGGCATGCTTTGCAGGGGATCCCAGAGGAGCACATGCCCATGGTGGGTTTTTATTGCAGAGGTGTGCCTGCCTCTTGTATATATGGGGTGTGAGTGTGTGTGTGTGTGTGTGTGTGTGTGTTTTCAGTCTACAATTTTTTAGGGTGCCCTGGAGAGAGAAAAAGGCAATAAGAGTGAAGTTGTATTGGCACTTGTCAGGATTCCTCTGCCACGTGCCCAAAGGGGGAGGGGGGGGGGGCATAAGGAAGGAAGGAAGAAAAGAAAAGGAAAGAAGAAGCAGTCTGGAAAGTCCTTCCTTCCTTCTCTGCACCTTTGGGGTAAGGAAAAGACAACTGAATCACCATCAGAAAATGCGGAAGCCATACGAATCCTTGTGACCTGACCAGAAAGCCCAAGGTTTTCCCTTGGCAGAGTGTCCAGAAGTTCTGTGTGCAGAACTTTATATTCCAGGGGTGTGTATGTGAGGAGAATTTTTTTTTTCTTCTTCCTTCTCGGAAATTCAAGCCAAAGGAGGGAAAATATGGGCTCTAAGAAGGGGGATTCTGAGATACAGCAGCTGCAAACTGAGCTGGAAAGCCTCTGGACAAAAATCAAGGTTCGTGTCTCATATATAATTTTTTTCCCAGCATATTTTTTTTTTCCTGATGAATTTTCTGCAAAGTCTACCTTGAGCCTCTTGAAAGAGGCTTCTTCATGTATTAATCATTCACACAGCAGCAATTCCGTATGCTCTCTGGAAACCTCTGGAAACAATTTTCAAATGCCACGGGTTCTTCAATTTGTTTCAAGTTTTTCCATTTTTTTTTCTGAAAAGGTACTTGAGAAGACTTTCAAGCACATTCTCAAGAAGGAAGAATTTAAATTATTCCTTCCTGGTTTTTTAGAATCTCAATTCAAGAGAGATATATTCATGGATAAACTTTACAGGATCTCAGCTAATTGCTTTCTAGAGAGATTCCATTATTTAAAAAGCTAAAATTAATTCTGATTCTCAAGAAGGAGTTGAAAGGGTTCTAAACCTGTGCAAGATTTAATCAAAGAGAGCCTTTCAGCCACCTCTTGTGGAGTTTCCAGAACTCTTTCCAGGAGAACAAAAATTAGCTACTTGTGTTATGAAGTGAGGAAAATTTAATTTTGAATATCCTCTGTGGGTTATTAAGAAATTCTTTTCAAGAAAGCAACACTCCTTTCAACTTCTAATCATATACTGTATATAGGGCAGTTTCCAGAGGAAGGCTTGAAATAGTCAGATTTTTCTTCAAAACTGTTGCATCAGTTGATGATTGTAAAGTCAATCAATTTGCATTCAGTTGGAAAAAATGTGGCTGAATTCATTTGCAGCTTTGAATGTTCTGGAAATCTTCAAGAAGAATACTTTACACATGTTTTTATTGCAGCATTTAATGTAAACATATTATTTCATTCTTTTATTTTTCAAAAAGTTATTGGAGAAAGAATTTTGTGTGAATGGAAGAGTGGTGAGCAATTTTCCAGAAGTCTTGCAGGGGAAATGCTTTCAAGATTCTTACTGCTTTCACACCATTGCTGTGATTCTAAAAGCTTCTGAAAAGAGCTGGAAATCTTCTTGTAAAGACTTCTGGAAAGTTCATGGAAAGAAGGGTCGCTTTCTGGATATGTTGAAATTATGTGTTGACTGAGAGTTCTTTGTGAAGAGAGAATTTAGTGGAAGATTTTGCGGGGTTAAGCAGGAGACTTTCCAGAGGAAGTTGGGCACCTGGAAAGAGCAGCAGCTGGTGCAGAAAAAAAAAAGATCCTGGTGAACAAAGGATGCATGTGCTTTTTTTTTCTTGCTTCTTTCCAGGAGGAGCAGCAGAAAGCCTCAGACGCGGATTTTGCCAAGGAAACCAGCTCCTTTCCAGACATCCCCCACCCTAGAGTGATGTGCAGGAAGGTCCTCAAGGGACACATCAATAAAGTGAATTCTGTGGACTTTTCAGGGGACTCAAGGTACATTGGAGCCCATTTACTCAGTCATTCATGACCTCGTTTCCATGCAGTGTGGAAGACTTTTCCCCCCTTAGCAGGACCTGGAAATAAAAAAAAAACTTTCTTTCCAGAAGCCCTCATCAGGCTTTTGCAGATGAATGGGTTTTCTAGCCTTGCCCTGGGCTTTGAAGTTCTGGTCCTGGCAACTCTGAATCTCCTCTCTGTCTGTCTCTCACTATACATTTACATCCTGCATATTCATGACCTCCCAAATAATCACTCCCAACTTTCCAGAACCGAGTTTCTATCCTCTATCTCACCCCTTCAACCACAAAACTAATTGCAACACCCCTGGATCCCCCAGCACACTGTCATCAAATGCCCTGTGAAAACCCCCCCTTTTGAAGCTGCACTTGCATCCAATCAACTTCTCATTTACCACCCTGGTTTCTGGGTTGATGGCCTTGGGCTTTTTCCAGAGCCTGTCATCTCTGGAAAGCTCTCTGAAAATTCAATCTTCACTTGCACACCCATTAAGAACATGCACTGGAATTTCCTCAACATGAACCTTGCTCAACAAAGCCCCATCCAGTATTAACTTCTGCATGGAAAAAAATACTCTTTATTTATTCAATCTAGAAAGCTGGAAAGTGCCCCACAGCTTTAAAAAGAATAAAAAATGCAACTTCTCCAAGTGGGAGTTCAACTTCCATGCAGTACTCATTTGCATTAGTAATGACTTGTCAGGGGAAGCTCTTACCTGCTGTGGCTGGATAGTTCTGGGGTGATGTATTTAATCAGTACTAGAAATGGCATTGAAAGCAAAATGTGAGCTCACAAATTTAGAAGCCAGAAACTATGCCTGTGGTTTTTATTTTTTTTATTCCTAAAGGAAAAGGGGAAGTCATGTTGTTGGTTGATTGCTGTGCTGAACTTTTTGAAAGTGCAGAGGGGGGGGGGGGGGGAGATTATTCTAGAAACTATTTCAAAGAAGACCCATTAGAAACTAATGTTTTCTAACTTCAAGATCTTCTAGGCCACACATTTTCAGCATGTAGAAGAGGGCTTTCTGAAAGTAGCTGGACAGGCTAGAAATTCATGGAAAACCTTGTTTGGAAATTTTAGACTCTTAAAAACAGGATTAAATTTGTGCAGAGTTAAATTATGAGTATTGAACATTTATTTGGGACTTTTTTTTTTAGAAAGTTTTGGAAATCTTCATGAGCACTACAACTGGAAAGTTTTCAAAAAAAAAAACTTGCCAGAATCAATTTAAACAAGAGTTGAGAGACACCTTAAAGACTTGAGACATTTCATGGTACAGTATTTTCAGACTCTTGGTAGGAGAATTTTTCCATGCAGATGATTCTATAAAAAACTTTCCAGAGAAAAACATTTCAATGTAGTGTGAATATTTTACATAGAAGCTGCAATTGTTACTCAAGAGTTGAAAGATGTTTACTCTTTTTTGCATTGCTTACATTTTTCAAAATCTTGATTCATGTGTATAGAAAATTGTATGTAGACATTGAGAATTATTTTGAGGGTCTAGAAACTAACTAGAGACAAATACTGTACAATTTTTGTTTACTTTCTTCAAAAATGTGATTTTTGTATGAGTTGAAAGATGAATTTGAGATTTGTTACAATGTGTGGTATAGAACTTGTTGTGGGGAAATGCAGTGCTGTGGAAATATTTGCAGACACATGGTATCTGGATCTTTGGATGGGAAGCTGATTGTTTGGGATGCTTGGACTGGGAACAAGACCCAAGTGATCCCATTGAGGTCCTCATGGGTCATGACAGCCCGCTTCTCTCCATCAGGGAACTTTCTTGGTCAGTGGCTGGGATTTCCTTGTTTGTCTGCTGCTTTTCCTCTTCAATATATACTGGTTTCCACTACTTTATTTCTCTCTCTCTCTCTCTATTTTCTCATTCTTGTTGCAGCCAGTGGAGGCATGGACAATGTGTGCACCATCCATGACCTGAACAACAGGGACAGTTCCACTGGGGCAGCCAAGCTAGTCAGGGAGTTGTGTGGCTTTGAAGGGTTCCTGTCTTGTGCCAAGTTCATTGATGACTCCAACCTCATCACTGGATCTGCTGATCACAAGATGTAATTTCCTCTTTTTCCTTTGAAAAAAATAAAAATATCCCTGTGGTGGCATGTGAAAGAAAATGTAAAATGAAGACATCTGCTGGAACCCATGATGCACCCATGGCAAAGGAGGAGATGAAAAAAGCAAACAACAGACCCTCTTCTGTTCAATCAACAACCACAAAAGAATTCCCCCCCTCCTTTTATGCTAACAACATCTACAAAGTTTCCTGTTTAACTTCATTTAAATTTTCCTCTGGCTCTGGAGAAAGTTTCTTTACCTGCAATTTCCTGGGGTAACATTCTTGGGATGGAAATAACATAAAGACAGTGGAACCTCATCAATTCCAACTCAGGGAAGATGGAGAAAATTTCTGGATATCTTCTTTTTAGATACAGTATTAAGCACTATTTTGCCTTAAAATGGAAGATGTTTGTACAGTATTAAGAACTATATTTTTCTAGAAAAATGAGTGAGACATGGTTTCCTGCAGAATACAATCAGCATTTTGCCTTTTCAAATTAAAATTTTGTTTACAGTATATCTTTCATTTTTTCAGTAGATTTAGAACTACTTTTAATCAATTGCATTTTCTAAATATTATAGGAATTTCAATACTTTCAATCATTGCAAAAGCATAAGCAACATTTATTAGATGATTCAATGGATTCATCATCATATCTTTCACTTGTCATCAGTTGTTGATTCTTCAGTCATGTAGTAAAACTTGGTCAACATTCTGAGTATACAGTCAACCCCCGTCTAACGGACTTTATTCGTGCAAGGGATGAGTCTGTTGGACAAAAAGTCCTTTACACGAATTCAATTACATAAAAAATTAAAAATTTCAATNAGGGATGAGTCTGTTGGACAAAAAGTCCTTTACACGAATTCAATTACATAAAAAATTAAAAATTTCAATTTTCAACACTAATTTTAAACCAAAAGAAGTCTGTTTGGCGGATTTTGTCTGTTGGGCGGGAGGAAAAACTGCTTGCAGAGCTGGTCTGTTTGGCAAAAATCCCTTACAAGGGAGGTCTGTTAGGCGGGGGGCCACTGTACATTGTAACAGTATGGAGAAAAGTAACTGATCAAAAGAAGCATACTAATTTTATAGTTGCATTTTATATGTGCTGGGAACTCATGGCACTTACACAGCTACTGTATGATACACTGAAGTTGATTGAGAATTTACTAAATTTTTTGTTTTCCCTTCCTCACTCAGAATAATTTAAAAATTGAAGTAAAATAACTCCTTCAGCATCAACTACAGTAATGAATTTTGTCAATTTGTAATAGTCAATCTGTCCAATTCCTGCCAGGACTTTGAAGGTGTGCTTAAATTGAGGAAACTGTAAGGTTGGGATGAGATTTCAATGGTTGCTTCTCTCAAAGTCCATGAATGTCTTGAGGTGTTTGTTGACATGTATTTGAGCAAATTGTTCATGCAGGATCATCTCTCCCCTCTCCATGTAATCATAGATTCCACTGGGACCTGGCAAGTGGCAGGAGGCTGACATCCTTTGATGGACATGATGGGGATGTGGTAGGACTCAACATGTCCCCTGATGGCAACACATTCATCACCTGCAGTGTGGACAGGACTGTCAAGCTCTGGGACACCAGGGAAGGTGGGACCAAGGCCTGCAAGAAGACTTTCAGGGGCCATGCAGGAGACATCAATGGGGCTGCTGTGAGCATGTCTTTTAATTAGCTGCTCTTGTCCCAAGGAAAAAGTTTCCTCCCCTCATTCCACCCACTTGTAAACCCCCTTGCCTTTTTTCTCCCCCCCCCCCCTTTCAAGGGTGGGGGGTGGAGTGAGGTGCATCCCAAGTTCCTCCCAAGGGGTGCCCAGCAGCTCTCTCCTCAGAGATTGATCACTCTATCCTTGCCCACTCCTTTCCTTTTGAGAGGCAAAAGGAATCATCTCACCCATATATGTATAGGTGTGGAGAGGTCTGAAAATGTTGGTTTCTTTTCTCACAACCTCCACCATGTATTATTGGTAAGCCTCCATGTCCAAGCAAGTTATCCTTTCTCACCATATATCCCAAATAAGTGGATGGAATTGTACTTTATTAAGGCTGATTAATCAGTTTTGGCAATCTTCTCCTCCTCCTTTTCTGGAATGTATATACAGTAATAGACACTCATTTCACAAACTAAATATTCAATAAATATCTTGCAACTTTTTCCTCACCCAGCATATAGATACAAATGTAGACAGACATCCCATAATAAGTTGTAAAAATGATTTTCATGAAGTGTGGGAGCTGTTGAATGCTTTATGATATGCTTGAAAATTTTTATTAATTACAATAATTTTTCCAGATATGTTCAAATTAAATTACATAACTTTCTAGTCTTAATTGACAGTGTTTTTGGTTGTGATACTGAATGTGATCAAGTTTGCCAAAAAAAAGTCAGGTGGTGTGAATTCATTTTATTACAGTGGTGGCCATTATTCTCAACAAATGGATCAGAGACATGTTTTAATATTTGTTATTGATGATATCCCACAGTTGCTCTGGTCCAGCATGGGTTTGAACAATCATGGGCATTAACATTTCAATGTCAAAAAGAGGATGCTGTTGTGTGAGATTTAAAGAAAATCAAGTATCCTTTTGTACAGTTCCATCCATCAGGCCTGGCTGTAGCCTCAAGCAGTGAAGACAAGACCTGCAGGTCATATGACCTGAGGTCAGAGAACCAGCTGGCAGTCTACAGTCCACCCACTGCCAACTCAGCCTTCACTTCCATCCTGTTCTCCATGTCTGGAAGACTGGTGCTTGCTGGCTCTGATGACTCCAGTGTGCATATCTGGGACTTCTTCAAGGGCACTCACTTGGGTGAGGACACTCTTGCCCTGGGTTTTCCCCCAATTATAAGTCCTGCTGATTTGTTTCTTTACTATAGGTACACTCACAGGACATGAGACTAGAGTGACATCTATCACCATTGCACCCAATGGAACAGCACTTGGCTCAGCATCCTGGGACCAGTCAGTGAGGATCTGGGGCTGAGATTCCCCTGGCATAATATAGTCAACCCAAGGACTCATTTCAGTAATACCACTGTTTTATTCCTTTGACTTGCATAGCATGTGTGTGTGACAAGATTCAAGTTCCTTGCAGTGCCCTCATCAAACAATAAATAAACATGGGAATCTTGACTTGGACTTAATGCCTGGTAACCATATGATATGTTTTTCCTGTGTCACTTTCTTTTGAAGCACGCAAATGTCTGACAAGAGCTTGTCAGTGCTCTCACAACCCTGCTTCCTGGCAGTTTTAGTCTCTCATTTGGCAGCTTGCTGGCAAGTCTATAGAGAAAAGAAGGGAAACAAGATCATCAAGATCTCAGTGTTCCACAAAATGAGTACACTATTGTACCTGGCAATAGACAAAATGGCAGGTTTTGGCTGAGGGAACACTTGAGCAGTATTGCACAAGATGTATTCAAAGCAGTCCTCATTTTCCAGGATCTTGGTGACCATGTTTGAGACTGTGTCCAGAGTGTCCTCAGAGTCTGTTGACCTCCTGCGCCTTTTGCCCAACTGTCCACCATAGAACAGTGGTAGAACTAGGCCAAAGAATGTCAACCAGACCACTGTGGCCACACAAATGGCCACTGCATCCACAAAACTCCCCACACCCATTCTGTTGTAGTTTCCAAATGTCAAGGGTGGTCCTATCTTCTTCTTCCCTGGAACATCTATGATGGGGATGTCTGGGTAAGGGTTATCTTGTTCCTGCAAAGTAAAATACCTATGGTACAAGCCTTTATTGCACCATATCTGTATAGGGACTCTCTTACATGTTCAATGTCACTGTAGTCATTGTGTTCATCATGTTCTTCTTCAAAGTCTGGTTTCCAATCTGTTTCATCATCATCCTCTTCAAGAGTATTTTTGAGGTTGTCCAACATGCCTTTCAGTTTGCCCATCAGCTCAGAGTTGCCAATGGAACCCAGAGCCTTGTCCAGGAAATTCCCTGAACTTTCCATCTTCCTAAGCAATATTTTAAGACCATTAGAGTTCTTTAAAGTATATTTTCTTAAATATTTGAGGAAAAAGTAGTGATTCTCTCTGGTTCAAATGTCAAAATTCAAAAGAATAAAAATGGCTGATGAGCATTTTAAGTCAAGACAATTATTTTTCATGGTTTTTCAACCATTTTATTTAAAAATATATTGAATATGGGATTGGAAGAAAAATTAAGCAACAGCCACTCACCTGCTGCCATCTGGATCTGCACTGCAAACCACAACCAACAAGAAACCTAACACTAACTGCTTCATTGTGTTCTGTTGAAATATGCAAAAAGAAGGTCTTCTGTGAGAGAAACATGAAATTTGATTGAACATATGAGTTTGAGTATAGAACTTGTATAAGGAAGAACACTGTTTTTCATCTCACAAAATATGGCACAATGGTTTGAAATGGAACTTTGCCTCAGGGGCTATCTTTGCCTGTGCTGGAAGACAAAGTTCATGATCTTGCACTTCTTTCTGTTGCAAGCCTTGGAGATATGGTCAGTTCTGGCCTCCATCTTGTCTTCATGATCAACCAGCTTCTCAATGATTCTAATAATGATTAATTGGAGAAGGGGGTTCATGAGTGACTGATTCAAGTTTGAAATCCATATTTGATTGTGTGCTCATATAGATACCTGAGAAACCTGGCAGACCTTTCATAGCCCTGAGACTCCAGCTCACAAAGCAGCCTTTGCAAGCACTCCTCCTGCTGAAAATGGTCCTTCACTTGAGGCCACACTTTGTCAGAGGCAGCAACAAAGGCCCTTGCAGCTACAATAATTCCCACAAGCTCAGCACATAGGTCCCTGAAGGGGAACACAATTCTTTATATCCATCATACCTGGAGACTCCCTGCCAAAGATCCCAGGACCCCAGGTGAAGGGAAAGAAAAGAGCTGCTCCCCCCATGGCAATCATGGCTGCTCCTACTGCAAACAGTCCATCCACAAACTTCCCAAAGTGCTGTGCTTCTTTTGGATCCAGTCCCAGGTGTCCCTTGTAGCCATAATAAGGCTTGTACCTGTTGTGCTTGATGAACTCTTGGTACTGAAAAAAAAAGTGCAGTTCCAATAAGTCAATCCACAATCTAAACTTCATTTTTGAAACAATAAAATTATTTTGTCCAACAAATATTGTTCTAAATCCCTGACAGAAACTGGATGGAACACATTTATCAAGTTAAAACATAAAAAAATGTATTTTATATTGTGAAGTACAGTATTTTCATTTCTTAAATTCAAGAATAATGTTAGCATTACTTGCACAATTTAAAATTCCTATTTTCAAAATTAATGCAGTACCTAAATAAAGGTATTTATGTTCTCAGCAGAGCTAAAATGTGATATTTTCTGGGCTTTTCTTTTGTTGACCAACTACTTGTCAACAGTGCAACCAATAAATTTCCAATTATTGCCAGTGTTAAAACCCCTTGATAACCAAAGACTGATGTTGAATGAAATGTATGGAATATGGAATCAGTTCCTTAACAATAACAAAAGGTGTTGCTGATATATTTGCAAGGATTGAAAGAGGGAGAATTCCCTTTAAGCTTAGAAAGATGAATATGATGGTAATAGGCTATGTATACTGAAACAATTTTAAGATTAAATGTGACCAAAATTTGAATCAAATGTTGATTACTTGAAGCAGATAGTGACATAATTAGCTCTGCAGTCATGAATCTGGATTGATGTACTTCTGATTATACAATCAAAAATGGATTAAAATTACATATTGGCAGGAAATTAGTTTTTTTTAAAGCTTCCTCAAGTTTGTTGCAATGTGACTTTCACTGCATTGGTCAGCATGTATTGATGTATGTGAACATTTACTAACCTGAGTGTGAAGTCCTCCAAAGGGGAATTCAGGAATGGGATAAGGAGGGTGATCATGGTAAATGTAGGTCTTGAAGGGCTCTTTGACTGGGTCATAATTGTCATCTGCCCCCTTGAGTCCAGGAATAGCATCTTTGTCTTGGTGGTGGCCCTTGAGGAACCCTGGTTTCTCATGGTGAGCAAAGACACCCTTTTCAGGGTAGAGGAACTGGTGCTGAGGGCTGTTGTAGAACTGGTGCTCCACATCATCATGGTCATTGTCTGTGACATACTTGATGTTTGGGTTGCCTATGACAAAGCCATTGTTGTAATCTGGCCTTGGGTCATCTTGGAACTTCCCTCCATACCTGCAAAATCATCAAAACCACCCTGTTTACTCAATTTTCATTGTTCACAAAATTGTATTTTGTGTTAGCTTACCTGTCCTCAATTTTTATTGAGTCTCCTTTCAATTTAGGAGAGTAGACTGGACCTGCTTCTTCAGCACTATTCACCAGCACAACAATCCCAATCAAGAGCAAAACCTGATACAACATCTGCAAGCAAAAAAACAAACATTTGCACACTTCCACAATTTGCATGTAATAGTCCACTTGTTGCACATTCTTCAATAATTATGCTGTATTCACAGAAATGCCACAGGACATATTTTTGGTGGGGGTTACAATATTTTTGTGCACAGGGGTTGTCAGGGAAACATTTTTGGCACAGGTTTCAAAAAGCTTGACATGAAAACTCATCACAAGATCCATCTCTCTCCCTGGTTTTTGCAGCCCAGGAGGCCAAGAACTGCAAAGGTGATGTCATCTCAATCAACCTGCATGTTCAAAGGGGGAAAAAAACATTCATTTTTCCTCATTATATTCACAGATGTTATGTGACAAACCTGAGGAAGTTTGGTCCCCATAATTTCTTTTTGAGTTGGCCTTCATACATGCATTGGAGTTTCTTGAGACACTGGGGCTCAGCAATGCTCTGAAGAATAACATTCATCAGAGGATCATCCAGGGATCTTTTGGTTGGCAGTGCTAGTGAATCAATAGCAGGGATGAACAGTCCAATCCCAATGATGATGATGAGTGGGAAAAGGAAAAGTGCAACACCATCCACAAAACTGCCTTGTTTTGCATAAGGGTCCTTCATCATCTCCTCCATAACTTCTGTTTTTGAGGAGAACAATTCATATATTAGTAAAATGGATTTGGACTGGTGGGGACATCTGGGACCAACCTTTGGAAGCATCAGGCTCTTTCTCCTCTTCTTTGGATTTGTTGTCTTCTTTGGTAGTTTCTTCTGGCTCCTCATACCCTGGGGCTTCAGTTGCCTTTGGTTTATCTTCATCTTTGGGGTAGGTGTAAATGAAATGTCCTACTGGTCTGCCATCTGGTGCATAACCACTGCAAAACTCATCAAACTGAATACTTGCACACTACATAAAACTCAGTGAAAAAAGTAGAAGCCCTTGGTGGACAAAAATAGCTGATGATAGACATAACAATCTCTGGATTATATATTTAAAATGTATTACAAAACATTTTCTTGCTAAAAGAAAGTTGTTTCATGGAAAATTATCTTACAAGTAAGATTCAGCTGGAGGATCCATGAGGATTGTGTGAGGATTCTTGCTGTCCCCAAATGTGAATGTCTGAGTTTCTGGATTCTTCTTTTGTGCATTGATGAAGGTCTCCCAATCCAGCTTCTTCTCCTCTGTAAGTGCAGGTGTCACCACAAAAGCCACCCACAGTAAAACACCACCAACAATCCATTGCACCATTCTCACTTCAAAAAAATACTGACTATAACTCTGCAAAAAGAAAGAAACTTTACAGGTTTATTGCCATACAAAAATGCCAACAAATTAATTTTAAAAAAAGGTTGAGAAGTCAATAAATAGTTTGTATTGTGATCCACTAGCATCATTTGCATGACAAGTTTTCTTTTCACTTTTTTGGATAATGCCAATAATAAGATGTATACTTTTCAATTACTGATTAACTGGAGGTTTGATTTTGTCAACCAACACTTTGGAGGTTGGCAGGCTCTCACACTTGAACCTGTAGCAAGCTCTGCCCTCAAAAGACCTCAGCATATGAAACCACTGAGGATTGGCTGCTCTGGCAACTCTGCTTGCCACCCTGTGGACAAAAGAGACTCTTATTCCAAGGAATTTAATCATGAGCTGTCAGGAGAAGGGGGAGGCTTTCAAGAATCCAATCAGTTTCTATTATTGCTTTGAAGCTCTTGTGGAACCCAAATTTCTGAGTAAGAATCCTCCAAGTCCATGTTAAACCATTTACAGGCTCTTCTTTGATTGCTCAGACTCTTCTTAAACTGAAAACTGAAATGGGCAACTTTCTGGTCATACATTCCTATTTTATTTTAGTCTTGACCTTCAGCACCACTAATACAAAATTCCCAGGAATATGAAATTACTGATAGGAACATTTTTTTTAATTGTGTGGAACTACCATAAAGCACATTTTGCAAGAATTGAACTGATTGTTCTAACAAGTGTACAGTATTTGGAAAATGCTGGAAATTCATAAAAAATAAGTTTCATATTTCCTTACAGTGATGGGGTGCATTTCCAAAGTTTTTTTCTATTCTGTATTCCAATTGGGTGATCATAAACTGGAATTAACTCAGAAAATAAATGTTATTCTGTGAGGATCATGGTATAATCATCATCCATCAATCCATATGTCAATGAGAAGACAAAAGAATCCTGGAAAAATCCATGAACCAACCCAAATATACTTGAATATTGAAGTGTACTCACTTCACCACAGTGTTGAGGGGTGCAGGCAGAGAGTTGAAGAAGACACCAGCCTCACAGGCTGCTCTCTGTCTGCACTGGTCATGAGAGTTGACAGCAGTCACCAGGGTCATGACCAGAGCATCCAGTTGAGGCAACATCTTGTTGTTGCCCAGAGACCTACCAGCAAGGGCTGGTTGAACCACAGCAAAGGCCCACAAAGGCAGGATGGTGCCTATGGCAGCCAGAAAGATAGAGGCCACTGTCATGACTGACAGCTTGTCCACAAAGGTTCCTATTTCATAGTCTTCCTGCTGCTCCCAGTCTTTGAAAATGGGCACCATGCTCTTCAGCTTCAGGTAAGTCTTTATTCTTTCTTTGGTGAAGTCCTGTATTTGAAGAAAAATGTCCTCTTGCATGTGTGATCTTTGTCATATACAGTATTGTTTCAATTTCAAGTGAGCAATATAGCAATACTGTGCATATTAAGGCTAAGTTGAATGGCAAAGTTGGCAGAATGAGTTAGTGATATAATAGCAAAGAATTGGTTCCAGAAAGTTGTTGGTTTGAGAATTCTTGTACAGTACTATATATTCCTCTTTTTGATCTCTCATGATTTAACTGTAAAATCTTTGTCTTGCATCTACTGAACTATAGCAACCAATTCACTGCAGTTAATTTTCTTCATATTCAAAATATCTTTTGTTTATTTAATCAAATGGTTGCCTGAAAAAATACACCTTGAAGCTGTTTCAATTTTTGATGAACCAATATTTACCTTGAGTTTCTTCTTCTCATGATCACTCATTGGGTTCTTCACTTTTGGGGGCTTGTAGTCTGATACCTCAACCCAGTACTTTGGATGCTGAGGCTTCAAATAATCATGCTCAAAATAATTGTAAGGATCTTGCTTGAATAAAGCATCCTTGGCTTCTTTGTCAGCCTCTACTACTGGCTTTGGTGGATCCTTTTTCTCAGGCTCTGCAGGTTTCTTAGGGGCTTCAGGCACAGCATAAGCAGGCAAAGGGGGGGAATAAACTGGAGCAGGGGATGTTTTGGGCACAGGAGATGGTGAGGACTGCACCACAGGTACAGGGTTGCCATAGTCTGGTGTCTTCACCCCAGGTGAAGGGTTACCATAGTCAAATGGCTTCACCACAGGCACAGGGTTACCATAGTCTGATGGCTTCACCAATAATGATACAGGACTGGTATTCAAAGCCATTGGTTTCCCAGTTTGTACATTGTGGATGGTTTGTTCAACATAATCATAGTCCTCTGTTGGCAGTCCTTGTTGATAGCTGGAGATGTCCAGAGGAACATCCTCAACCTCTGCTACATAGTAGTAGTCATCTGCACCTGGTGTGGATTGATAATTCCAAACATAGTCCTGAGTTGTTGGAGAACCCTTTTCTGCTTTGGTCCCCAGCACCAACAGAAGGCCCAAGATGTAAGTGAACTTCATGGCCTACAAGAATAAGTTTCTTCTATTCAAAGTATAACATTTGCATACATTGGCTTATATATGCTTACTGATTTCTATCAGCAGCTCTGCAATGAAGTTCACTGCATCTCATTGGACCAGTAACCACTAGTTCCTGGAACACATGTGAATAAATCTCTCTCATGAACCACTTACTCCTGGTGGAAGACCTAAATAAGAATGAGGCCCAAAAGAATTGCAGTCACAGCATTGTTGGTAACAATAACAGCAAAGTATCAATAAATAATGAGGGATATGAGCTTTCCACATTTTTGGATGAAGATCCTTCTTCAGGTTGTTTTCATGGAGACACTGGCAGGTTCCCACACTTGAACTTCTCACAGTTCTGCTCTTCAAGTGCTGCCAAATAATAGGCTTGTGAGGGCTTCATTGTCTTTGCGAGTCTTGCCATCATTCTGTGTAAAATTGAAGAAAGCATCTCAGGTGAAAGAACATTATGTTTTAAAATGCCACTAAAATGTGGAAGCCTGGCCCATTCCTAGATCATCAGCACATCAAAATTGTGCTTAAACTGGCTACATATAGGCTGTAAGTTCCCCTGAGATCACACAAGGAGCTGAAATTCAATTTTTCTGCATTCATCATCAAACAGTCTTCAATTTTAATAACTTCAAACTTTCCATGAATTAAAAAGACTGAGAACCAACACTTTTAAAATGTATTCACTATATTCAAGGTTTGCACTCAGTTCTCATCTCACCAAGTAAGTGCTTCTGGTGCATTTTCAAGGGGTGAAAGTGGAAGAAATTCATATCAAATTTACTCACACAATTCAAATGATGAAATAGAGAATATATTTGGATCAGTTTGATCATCTCTTATGACGGAAAAATATTGCATTTCAGAAAATCACATTCTTCATCAACCAGTAAATATAAATTTCCCATTTTGGCTCCAACAACATTCTTCCATGAATACTTGACAGATTATTGCCCTTCAAGATCTCCCAATTTAGAAAATTCAACCATACCACTCATTGCGTGAAGGGACATCTCGCCGGAGCTAAAAATGAGCCACCAGAAAGGAGCTGCTCTGTGATACAGATTTCCAAGTTTTTTTGTGCTGTGTGCAATGTATGCAATGCACTGCTACTGCCATAGTATATCTCAATAACTACTATCAATGAGTGATCAGCCCATATATAGTCCACACTGGGACACTTAGTGGATGCTATAATTCTACTTTCAACAAATCACCTAGTACAGGTGAACCCTGATAACTTGAACCTCCCTAAGTCAAAAACCACCCTAAGTTGAATTTTTTCAGGTCCTGTCTAAATCCCCTCAGAACTAATGCATTTAAAACCTCCCTAAGTCAAAGGCTTTTCCCCTAAAACCTCATAAGTTGAAATTTCTTTGGCCTGTTGGCTTTTATTTTCTTGAAACAAGCAAGAAAAAAGCATTTAAAACATGAATTGATTTGTTTTTAAAGGAGATGAGAGACTTAATTGGGGAAATGAACCCTGTCTCTAAGTTCAGGATGCTTTCAACTCATTTAAGAAGTAATTTCAGCCTCAGAATATTACAATTCACAATTTTAAGCAATTTTCCTGTTTCCCAGGACAAAAGGGCTTTGTATTGTAGCTTAATTCAAAACCTCCCTAAGTCGAATTTTTTTGTGGTCCCTTGAAGTTTGACTTAGAGATGAGAGGTTCAACTATACCTGAAGCAGTTCAGTATGCATTTAACATTAATACTGCTTAAAAGCACAATTTTCACTTCCTTGAATATGCAGTCCTGGACTCAAATACGGTATCAATGCAGATTGATCATAATAAAAGGAATATATTCTCAAGTTCATAAAGAAAAAGAATTTTAACCCCATACAGTATACATGAATATTTACTTGATGCACCTTGATACAAGAATTCCAACAGCAGAACCTGAGTTGTAGGTTCAAATCACCCGCCCGGACACTGTGGCATGCGCGGACGGAACTCACCTGCTCAGACGTTCGACGGGCGGCGGTAAGGTTCCCAAGACGGCACCAGCTTGACAAACAGCGCGCATCAAGCACTCCTCGTGCGCAACAACAGCAGTGCTAACCGTGCGGGCAACCTGTTCTACGCCTTCCGGGGCCTGCGGTAACGACTCCCTCGCTTTCTCCCACATCATCGCTAACCGCGAGCCGCCGAAGCCCCGCCTACACCCCCCCCCGCCACAAAAAAAAAGGGACACAGACGAGCGAGATGAAATCGGCGAGATCAAGAGCGAGCCACGTCGAAAGCAGCTTCGAAAAAAAAAACGGATCACTCCCTCCCGACTTACGTGACGTCTCTGCGGATGCGAGGCTCAGTCTGAATCGCGCCGGCGACGAGTGCGGACATTTTGTGGAGTATGGCTTGTGCGATGGGTGTGGATGGGAAACTGCGACCGGCTCCCGGCTGCGCGACGGTGAAACCCCATAGCGGTAGAATGGCACCCAGAGACGCCGTGAACATGGACGCAACCGTGAGTATGGAAAGCTTGTCTACGAATGACTTGACCTCGTAGTTCTCCTGCTCTGTCCAGTCTTTGAACACTGGCACCATGTGCTTGAGCTCTAGGATCGTCTTGATCCGCTCTTTGACGTATTTCTACCAGGTTTCATGAACCCTAGTGTCAACTTTTTTTCTCTAACCCACCACCCACCCCCCCTGTTACGAACTACCTCCCAGATGGGCTAATTATTCTGTGGTCGGGTGTTCGCTTAAATCTGAAACCTTCAGATTTCGTTGGCCAGCTTATCCTGAGAACTTAGTGTAAGAATTCTTCCTGACATCTCGTAAATTTGTTTCACGAGGGAATCAGGGAAGCGTCTCAATAATATTTTGAATGGTTGCACATGTAAGGGAAAGTATTATTCCTCGGTGTGTCGGTAATGTCATTGTAAAGCTGTCATCTCAGTAAAGAGAAGTCGTAGACCATCAGAGAGTATGTGTCAGAAGGGTCCTTGAGATTTTATATCTAATTCAAGATTGGTGAACTGTAAGCTATGTGCCTTGTTAGTAAAATTTTTCAGCTGGGTCCAGTAAAACAGTGTCCATAATTGTCCAAGGGTGGAATTTTCATTTTCTGACAATTTCAATGTTTATTTTTGGGTCTAATGGAAGTCTGCCCATAATCTTCCAAGGGTGGAATTTTCACTTATTATATGATCACAGTGTAACATTGTGGGACAGGAAATAAGCCAATCTTGAAAAGGCTCCAAGCATTATTCCTATGAACTTTCAAAATATATTTTGTTTATGGTGTTTTAAAAGGACAACACATGGCTTCTTTGTTCAGGTTGAAATTCTGTGACCCCTGATTAGTCTTCCATAATATGAACAACCGTTTAGAAAGTGTCAAAGTTGGTCTTTTGTAAATATTCAGGTACAAGTGAACTCTGTACAACAACAGTAAAGGGACTGGAAAATTATAATTGTAGAGAGAACTCTATGCACCTTGCAGAGAATTATTGTAGAAAAAATCCTTGCAGATGAGTATGAGTATATTTGTGTATGTTGTTGATTGTGGAGCTTAATATTCTCACAAGAGGTTCTATATCTTTTCAGTACCTTGCACCCATATTGACATGACTTGTATCACAGCATTTTTTAGATCTATCAACTTGAAAAAAAAAATTATTCAAACATTTTATGTTCATGGTATTTTCTCATGTTCTCAAATGAGATGTAAGTAATTTGAACACTACTTATCCTTTTGGGCATGATTTCAGGTTCCTGAAGTATTTTCTGTCCTGCTTAAATCTTTGTTATATGGGTTTTCACATACTTGTATTGAGTCATTATGCATGAGAGGTGAGAGCATGGAAACTCTGTTCTATGTCTTCCAAAATTCCTTGTTTAAAATTTTTTAAAATCACATGTTGCAAATATTTACTGACTGGTGAAGCCTCAAGGTCTCAGGAATGTCTTGACACAGCAGAGATTTCAAATAATGCACTACTGTACCTACTGGGGTGTTGCATGACACAAATGAGAGGGTGGACTTACCTTGAGCTTATCCTCCTCATGTTTAGACATGGGGTTCTTCACCTTTTGTGGTTTGTAGTCTGACACTTTGACCCAATGTTTAGGGGGTTGAGGTGCCAAGTACGCATGTTCAAAGTAGTTGTAGGGGTCTTCCTTGAAGCCTGGCTCATGAACTGGGCCATCAGGCTTGTGGGCCAATGATGCAGTCACTGCAGTTGCAGCTAGTATCACTAAACAAATCCACATATTTCTTCTTTTTTTCTATTTTCTTTTGAAACTAAGAATGAATCTTAGACCTGCGCGAAGTGACACCAGGAAGGACACTGGGAAGGACCTGGGGTTTGGGGGCCAGCTCAGGAAGGCTGTGATGTGCTTATGGAAACAGGACGTTGTTGGAATATACTGGGATGCCCTGTGGAGTATTTCATACCTTTGTGGGACTGTGGAATTCTCTCTTGCTGTTTTTCAAATCTCAAGTTTGAACTTTTGATGAAAACATTTCTTCTGAGCTTTGCATACTGCTTTGGAAACCCTGAATGGTAATCAAGCAACATGAAATAATGATTACATGTGTATCATTATAAACAATAGACTATGGAATTACTATATATCATTATAGACTATGGAATATTGTGTTCCTGTTGTGGTTTAGAATCTCAAGTTGGACTTGGATGAAAAAATTTCTCATGAGTTACCAACTCTTTATGGGAACCCAAAAAATAAGTTAAAAAAATATTGTGTTCCTGTTGTGGTTTAGAATCTCAAGTTGGACTTGGATGAAAAAATTTCTCATGAGTTACCAACTCTTTATGGGAACCCAAAAAATAATTTTAAAAAATATTGTGTTCCTGTTGTGGTTTAGAATCTCAAGTTGGACTTAGATGAAAAAATTTCTCATGAGTTACCAACTCTTTATGGGAACCCAAAAAAATAAGTTTCTTTTAAGTATAACTGAGGCTATTTATTACTTTGTGCTAGTGTGACTATGGAATTTTGTGCATTTTTAAAATTTGAACTTCAATGGATGAATCTATCCTGAGATACTTATTGCTGCTTATGGAAGCCCTGAATATTAATAAAGAAATTACGAGGTATTTCCCTGTTGTGGTTTAGAATGTAAGTTTGGACTTTGATGAATAAATCTCTGAGTTACCAACTCTTCATGGAAGCTCTAAATAATGATGAAACACCAAGTTTGATTCAAGAATAATTGAGGATGTTTAATAACTTTGTGTGAGTGTGACTAAGGGATGTTGTGTTTAAAAAAAAATTGAACTTTGATGAATTAATCTCCTCTGAGCCATATACTGTTCAATGAAGCCCTGAATATTAATCCTAATGAGATTTATTTGAACCATTGTTCCCTGTTGTGATTTAGAGTCAAAGTTTGGACTTTGGCAAACAAGTGTCTCATGAGTTGAAACAACAAATGATTATGAAGCTCTTAGTTTTATCAAAGAATAATCAGGGCTACTTTATAACTTAATGGGACTGTGGAATGTTGCATTTTCAATTCTATATATATTTCAACTTTGATGAATAAATCTGCCCTGAGCTATTTAATGTTTATGGAAATCCTTAATATTAATGAAATATAATCAAATAATTATTAGGTGTATTTATTCATTTAGTCCCTGTTCTGTTTAAGAATCTAATTTTGGATTTTGAGGAATAAATCTCTCATGAGTTACCTACTCTTGTTGGAAACCCTGAGTAATGATTAAATACAATGTTTGATTAAGGAATAATTTGAGGCTATTTTATCCCTTTTTGTGTTGTGGAATGCTGTATTTTTAAAATATAAATTTGAATTTTGGTGGATGAATCTTCCCTGAGCTACTTGCTGCTGGTGGAAACTCTGATGATGTATTTATGCCCTTGTGGGACTGTGGAATCATTTTGTGAATGTTGATTCAAGTTTTTGTTGTTACTGCTTTTTTGAGTTAATCTCCCATGAACTGCTCACTCTTCATGGAAACTATGCATACTTAAATAATGAAGCATCAAGTTGGATAATTAAATAATGATGGGCTATTGTTGCCTTTGGGTGACTGTGGAATCCTGATGTGGTTCTGTATCCAAGTTTGGAATCTGATGTTTTGAGATTTTTACTGCTTATGGAACCCCTGAATATTAACTCAGCAGGAATTTCTTCAGTTATCCAACAAGACTTTTAAGAATCACAAGTTAAAACACTTCAGGACCAACCCTCACACTTCCAGTCTACAATAAGTCAAAGTTTGGAATAAGTGAATCAGTTATTTAGTCATTTACTAAATGCAGTATTTCATTAAATTAAATTTTGACTTGTGTGGTGTTCAAACAAAATTTGGTTTCATCTTCCAGTCCATCTCAAAATCCCATTCGGCAATTGGTTCATGCAGTATCATTACTTTACCTCAAGTCATCCTTTTCCTCAATCTTCAAAGAAAAATCTATAAAAAAAAAATTCACAGTAAATTGTTGAGTGTCCCCCAACAGTCAATTATACCCAGAGGTCTCCTGTTATGGAAGTAAATGGGATGCAAGGTGGGTAACGGAACTGTGCCCTGGCAGAGAAAATATAGGGCACAGGTTGGCATTTGAATAATTTCCCCCTGGGCTATTTATTGTCACCCAATGATCAGTCACACACACACACACAAAATATGAGACTAGAAGCATACTAATGTGAATCATTGGGGGGAAAAAGTAAGAGCCCGGGTTCATGAGAAAATCAACTCGAACATAAATCACAGCAGTCCTGAAGGTTTTTCAGGGTTGATGATCATTACAGAGTTGCCAGCTGACAAAGAAAAAAAAACTACCGTAAATTTTCGTGTCCCGAAAAAAAAACAATTATTGCGGCAATGCGATTAAAAAATGCAGTGAAGTATCTTTGCAAATAAAACGTTGGAATCAGGACAATAACTTTTAAATTAGGTAGAATCTAGTTTCAAGGCATTTCCTGTATAACGAATTATTACTTCGCCTCTGTCTTAACAATGACAGTTTTATTAGAATTTGTCTTCAAAGAATTTTGGTTACAGTGATAATACTTGAATCTTGATACCAAAGAAATTATGGGACTGGGAAATAAAAGCCTTTTCATGCAAAATAATTTTATTTCTGCATGTCTTGATACAGTATAACACATTATTGAGTGCAATATGGCAACACTGTTGTTAGCCTTTGTTGAGACATTTTGGCAATATGAATTTTTTCCTGGCACCACCTTTTTGTAAGAAGATTTGGTACAGTATAAAGAAATTCAAACAACATTGTAATTTTTGCACAGGGTCCTAAGAACAAAATTTTTGTGAGCAATAAGTTGTCAGATAAAAATATGTTGTCTCAAGATTCAACTGTATTCAAAGTTGAGTAAATTTGGAAAAAAGGATATTGAACATTTGTTGAACTTGCAGGAGTATAAATTGTTCTAATGTTGTGTTTGTTTGTGAAGTATGGCAACACTGTGGACTGTTGGTAGTTGCATGTTGGTATTCCAGAACATGCCAAGCAGGTTGTTGCACTCCAGGACAAGTTCTTGCTTCCTAAGATACATCTTTTTGTCATTCTTGAACTCCAGTCACACCCTTGTGTTCATTTACTTTTTGTAAATCTTTTTTCTTCTCTCCTTGTGTGTTTTTCAAGAAAATGCCAGTCATTCATTGCTTTTGTGGGAGAAACTGCACCAGCAGCATCAAATGAGTGAACATAGCATTCATGATCTGAAACAAGACAAAAACATATTTTAAAGCTTTGTCATTTGTTTTTGGGGTACACTACTGTACTGTACTGTACTCACAGTCAGAATGGTGCTTTTGGTGACTGGCACACCTAGTGCAGTTGCTGCATAAGTTTCCAGTGCCAAATGCTGGTACCAGTTTTTCAACTGCAGGATTGAGAAATTGGTATTGAAATTAATGTAATTTTAGTGTAGTGATAATTAAAAAACAAAAAGAAATCAAGAATTTTGAACCTTTTCACAATGTGGAAATTCCACCAGAAGCTTGCTCACTTTTCCCCTACTTGCATGTGCCTGTAGGGAAAATATTGTATACACAGTATGATCAGTTTGTATGACAAATTTATGTCTTACTTGCAATATAAAGATGCCCATTCCCAAGACATGCATTGAACAAAATTTATTGACAATATTTTACTAACCTGAGAATGCACATCTGCCATACAGAAGGTGACAATCCCCAGTCTTGCCATCATGAACAAGAACTGTGTTCCATATCTTAAACTCAGAGTGGTTATGAAAGTGTTTTGAAAAATATACAAGGCATAACTTATGGCCTCCACATAGAAAAAACCTGCAGTCAAATTTGTGACTCTATTGGCTGTCTCCAACATTTCAGTTGCCTTGAAATGCAGTTTGATAATCTGAATGAAAATAAGCATTACCACTTTGTATATTTGGAGGAAAGTTGTGAGTTCTCACTTCTTCAGGTTTCCCAAATTCAGGAAATGTCTGGTTGATTTCTTTGAACATATTCCTGATGGGCAGATGAACAGCCAGGAGAAGTACAGGTGCAATGCTCCAAAACAAGTTCACAATACAGTAGTCCATGACTTTGGCAAAGAAAAGGAATGCATTTTTTTCTGTCACATCAGTGTTTGCTAGCATGTATAAGTAGTCTCCAAAAAATGCAACAAGTGCTGCTGAGGAACCAGCTTTTACCTGCAGTTGAAGTGTTGCCATCAAGATTTGTTACTTCTGGAAAGAAAATGTTCAAGTACCTTCCATGAGGAGTACTCCAGAGTTGCCAAGTTGTCTTCAAGTTCCCCAAACTCCTGGCAAAGTTTCCCCCAGTGTCCCCAGAGATAATTCCCAGAGAAGAATAGGGACACACTCAACAGTGAGCTTGTGATGTACATGGTCATTACAAAAACACCAAGCACTTTAAAATACAGATCCTTTTTCCATATTGTTTCCTCAATTTCATAAACTATTTTGTAATATATGTAGAAACTGCAGGCTAAGCAAATGGCAGTAGTCATAATCCAAGAATATACCCTTGCCAAAATGCAAGACTTGACAAGATGTCTCTGACTTTGCCAAGTTAGCCCAAAGGCTCCAAGCAATGACAAAACCCATGTCACAGGTTTTAAACATGCTGACAAGAGAGAGTCTTTGGGTTTCAGCCTTTCTGGACAAACAGAATGACCCATACTTGAAGAATGAGGAACTTTTTTTTTTTTGCATTTCGGGATCCACATCAGCACAATTATCCAAGCAATCAAACTAATGATATTTTGATGTGAAATTCTTATTAGTGCTTTTCTTCATCATGAAATTGAAGCAGCAAGAGAACATAAGTTGTTGTTGCATTGGCCATCTGAAAATTGATTGAATTCCATTAATTTTTCACATTCACACACACATGCCATGGTTGCTTTCTTTTGTTTACCCAAAAGAAAGTTGCTGTGTTGTACTTGATCCCTGTCCCAATGGCCTGAATGGGTTCTTTGGACAGATTGTGATGCCATTCCTGCAACTATTTAAAAAGCAATTTAAGAAATGTGAAAAAAATTGGAATAAACAATTCATGTAATTTGTGCTAAACGTTTTGTTACAAAGATATTTCATTGTAAGTCCATAACTTTTATGCATTGCTGTTTGCTTTTGAGAATTTTTTACTCACACTTTTTCCTTCTTCATGCTCCATCACCATTTGATGCAATATATCCTTTGGAACTTCTCCCTGTAAGTCAAAAGAAAAGACAATATTTTTGCATGCTCCATGTTGAATTTTCATACCTACAGCAATTTCAAGATCCACTAGTATGCTGATCACCACAATGACTCTGAAGATTTGTGTGGAAAAGAGGAACAACTGCATGGGAGAAGCTTCAGAGCTTGCCATATTTTGAATTACAAAAACCCAATTAGTCACTGCTTCAACAAAAAAGAGAGTCAAAGTAAATCCTGCAATCCTGTTGACCAACTTCAGGGCCTTGGCTGTGTCATAGTATAATCTCATCAGCTGGGAAAATAAAAAAAAGATAATATTTATTATGCAAAACTTTAGTTCAATTTTTTACTCAAGATTCCACAGACCTCTTCAACTGAAGTCAGAATCAGTTTTTGTTCCTCAGAAAGGACCTGTAAAGCATTTGAAATTTTCCTGAATATGTTTGTAAATGGAAAGTACATTCCTGCCAGAAATGCTGGAACAAGGCTCCAAAGATGGTCCACAAAAACACCCATGAGTGCTTTGAATAGTCCAAACTTTCCTGCAGATAATGAGAAGATTATTGAAAATTCCATGATTGATAACTGATTTTGATTCTCACCATTGGTTTCCACCACTGTGGACCATGGATTGGTGATCAACCAGTTGAAAAACTCAGTGCTCAGGATCAGGATCCCAAAAGCCACCACAATCTTCAGCTGTAGGCACCACAGTGGTACAATGAGGATGATTTCATGGCCAAGTTACAACCTACAGGGTTACCTTTACAAAAGAAACCTGTTTCCACTGAAGCCCCTTGTGTTTCAAGTAAGCCATCTTAGCCCTGCTTTCACAATCAAGAAATTTCTCTGTCAGTTCCTCAAGAAGATTCCAGTGGCAATGTCCAACCAGGAAAAGTGCCAATCCATGCAATGTGTAACTTATGTTGAGAATAACTCTGAAAACACCCTCAACTTTGTAAACCAAACCAGGCTGCATTTTCATGAAGGCCTCTTCTACCCTCAGGGTCATGTAAGTCAGGTTGGCAATGCAAAAAGATGAAAAGACTACTTTGTAGAAAATCTTCCAATATACATTTCTTCTGACTTTTGCCAGGGGGCCATTCCAATGCAAGGGAAATGTCCCAGTCAGGCTTCCAGTGAAAATTACAGGCTTCAGAGCAGCTGATAAACATGTGTCTGTAATGGATTCCATCATCCCTTGTATATCCAAAACTTTCATTTAAAACTGTTGTATAAAATATGTCCAATGAAAAAAACCATTGATAATGGGGAGGGTTCAAGAAGAATTTCCTTTGAACTGCAGCAACAGCAGAACATAAGTGACAATTGCATTCGCCTCTTGCTGGCTTTGTATTTTATTGATTTTTGTGAAATCCATAAACATCAAATGATTGGTAAATTGATTCAGCCATCACCCAAAATAAGGTTGATGCATTGAATGGGATTCCTGGTCTGACAGCATGAATTGATTCCACAGTCAGTGTATGGTACCATATTTGCAACTATGAAGTAATCAATCAAATATGAAACAATGAAGTCAAAATTATGTCATGAAAATCCTGCAATTCACTGAAATGAGCTTTGTACAATTTCAATCTATTAAGCAAAATATATTTGCAATCAAATAGGACTTGAGTGGTTTTAATGAAAGATGTGCCATAACAAGTTTTCAAGCCTCAGGCATTCTAGGGTGCTGAATCAGCATCTTGTATAGTTCATCTTTTGGAGCCATTGTCAAAGGGAATTTGTTACTGTTGGTGAAAAATCCCACCCCCCTCTTTTCTTGACTCAGGGCTTCAGCCTGGTTTTGGACCAGTCATCTCTGAGTTCTGTTCTGGGAAGGGTGGTTCTGAGTTGCTCCCCAATTGTGGGGAATGTATTCTAATGTATTTTTGACTGTCTTGTTGCACTTTTGACCACGTACTTGTCTTTGTATTGCAGGCAAACTATATACATTGAACATATCATTGTTTATGTTGACTTGTTTGCACACGCGCTTGTCTTGCAAAGCACTTAAGCTTATGTTCTGTTGGGACTGTGAATAAAAGTGTGGATAGCAAATTCTTGGGAGTTTGTTGCATTCTCCATACTAGTTAGTCTTTGGCAGAAAGTGAGCAGCAACTTTGTGTAGGTCTTGCCATACTGACAACCTCATAACTGATGTCCCTGGTCCTCCTGTCTGAACAAACTTGACCTGACCACTTCCACCATCATCCAATCAACTCCAGTGCATAATCAGTGACCTAGCTGAGGGCACCCACCTATAAATTTGGAGTTATGTGACTTTAGCTTACAATTGTTTTGTAGCCTCTCATTGTAGGCGCAACATTTATGTATTGGACAATTGGGAATGGTTGAAAATTATAAATTAGACATGTTCATTGAAGACATTCAGACAGTTATTCATTTATTATATTTATTAAGCCAAATAAACCGTTTTGTGCTCACTTTTGATATTAATGCATGAGGAGTCAGCTGGAAAAAATATTTTATGATGATTCAAGTGTTTTTAAAATTGATTCAGGGTATGTAAGATATTGTATGTCTTTATTAACTTTTCAACTGAATATAGTCTTACTTTTAATTTTCAAAAAGTGTATTTTGAATACAGAATTTTTGTCAACAAACTTTTCATTTCCCTCCATTAAAAAAGCGAATTTTAGCTTGAAAATTATCAGAGGATAAAATATGATAGCCAAGAATTCATTTTGAGTAGAACTACTGATGCACCCACATAAAATACTGTATATGTTTTCTTGTGTAATTCCTTGAATTGGTCAGGATAATTGTTTTCTTTTGTGTTTTTTCTTGCTCTTCTGTGCATATTGTTGTGAACTCTGGCCATTTGTTTGAAATTGTGCTCATGACTGAGTTACTCAGAAATAAAAATAGTTTTGCCAACTATCCCCTTCATCATTAGGAAAGTTGATAGCTTCTTTTTGTTATCTTGGTGTCTTAGGTATTCCACAGACCATTTGGATTCAAGTTATATTCACTTTTGTGTCTTCTCAGAAGACCAGCAAAGCATTGTAAAGATTTTTCATAATTTCATGCATTGAGCAGTAGATGGCTGCAGGAAATACCGAAAGCAGATCTAGATAAATAGTTCATAAACCAACCTAACTGCTATGAATTGTGAAAGTCTTTCTGTACACAATGTGGAAATCATGGAAAGTTGATGGCTGGGTGATTTATAACAAATCTTCAATCAATCTCCAATCTGCCATTTTAAAACATTAATTAGTGATCAGCCAGTTGAAAAAATCAGTGCACAGGTTTTTAATTCCTGAAATCACCACCATCTTCAACTGAATACACCACAGTGGTACCATGAGTGTGGTTTCATGGTATGGTCATAATCTAAAAGTACCCTCAGGAAAAGAACCTGCTTCCATTGAAACCCTTTGTGCACATCATTGTTTGCTAGCATGTATAAGTAGTCTCCAGAAAATGCAACAAGTGTCGCAGCAAAACCAGCTTTAACCTGCAGTTGAAGGTTGCCATCAAGATCTGTTCCTTCTGGAAAGAAAATGTTCAAGAGCCTTTCATGAAAAGTACTCCAGGGTTACCAAGTTATCTTCTAATTCCCAAACACCTGGGAAAGTTTCCCACGGTATCCCAAGAGCTAATTTCAAGAGAAGAATAGTAGCACACTCAACAGAAAGTTTGTGATGTGCATGGTCAGTATGAAAACCTCAAGCACTTTAACATAGAGATCCTTTTCCCTCACTTCCTTAATTTCATAAAATAGTTCGTAACATATGTAGACACTGCAGGCTAAATAAATGGTAGCAGTCACAATCCAAGAATATACCCTTGCCAACATACAAGACTTGACAAGATGTCTCTGCCTTTGCCAAGTTAGCCCAAAGGCTCCAAGCAATGGCAAAACCCAAACCACATGTTGACAACAGAGAGTCTTCAGGTTTCAGCTTTTCTGGACAAACAGAATGACCCATACTTGAAGAATGAGCAACTTTTTTGCATTTCAGTATACACATCAGCACAATAATACAAGCAAACTAATTCTATTTTATTGTGCACTTTTTACTAGTTCCTTATGTCATCATGAAATTGAAGCAGCAAGAGAACATAGGTTGTTATTGCATTGGCCATCTGAAAATTGATTGAATTCCATTAATTTTTAACACATACACACACACACACATGCCAAGGTTGCAAATTTACCCAAAAGAAAGTTGCTGTGTTGTACTTGATCCCTGTCCCAACAGCCTGAATGGATTCTTTGGACAGATTGTGATGCCATTCCTGCAACTATTGAAAATGCAATTTGAGAAATGTGAAAAGAATTGAAAAAAACAGTTGATTTAATGTGTGCTAAACATTTTGTTACAAATATATTTCATTGTAAGTTCATAACCTTTATGCATTTCTGTATGCTATTGAGAATTTGTTACTCACACTTGTTCCTTCTTCATGCTCCATCACTATTTGGTGCAATATATCCTTGGGAACTTCTCCCTGGAAGTCAAAAGAAAATACAATATTTTCACATGTTTCATGTTAAATTTTCAAACCTACAGCAATTTCCAGATCCACTAGTATGCTGATCACAACAAAGACTCTAAAGATTTGTGTGGAAAAGAGGAACAACTGCAAAGAAGAAACTTCGCTGCTGGCCATGTTTTTAATCTCAAAAACCCAATTAGTCACTGCTTCAACAAAAAAGAGTGTCAGAGTGAATCCAGCAATCCTGTTGACCAGCTTCAGGGTCTTGGCTGTGTCATAGTATAATTTCATCAGCTGGGAAAATGAGCAGAAGTTAACATTTTTAATGCAAAACTTGAGTTCAATTTTTTGCTTTGAATTCCACAGACCTCTTGAACTAAAGTCAGATTCAGTTTTTGTTCCTCAGAAAGGACCTGTAAAGCATTTGAAATTTTCTTGAATATGTCTGTGAATGGAAAGTAAATTCCTGCCAGAAATGCTGGAACAAGGCTCCAAAGATGGTCCACCAAAACACCCATGAGTTCTTTCAGTAGTCCAAACATTCCTGCAGATAATGTTGAAATTAATGAACGTTTCATGAATAATAACTGATTTGATTCTCACCATTGGTTTCCACCACTGTGGACCATGGATTGGTGATCAACCAGTTGAAAAACTCAGTGCTCAGGATCAGGATCCCAAAAACTACCAAAATCTTCAACTGTAAACACAACAGTGGTACAATGAGGATGATTTCATGGCCAAGTTACAACCTATAGGGTTACCTTTACAAAAGAAACCTGTTTCCATTGAAGCCCCTTGTGTTTCAAGTAAGCCATCTTAGCCCTGCTTTCACAATCAAGAAATTTCTCTGTCAGTTGCTCCAGGAGATTACCGTGGCAATGTCCAACCAGGAAAAGTGCCAATCCATGCAATGTGTAACTTATGTTGAGAGTTACTCTGAAAACACCTTCAAGTTTGTAAACCAAACCAGGCTTTATTTTCATGAAGGCATCTTCTATCCACAGTATCGTATTAGTCAGGTTGGCAATGCAGAAAGATAAGAAGACTATTTTGTAGAAAATCTTCCAGTATGAATTTCTTCTGACTTTTGCCAGAGGGCCATCCCAATGCAAGGGAAAAGTCCCAGTTAAGCTTCCAGTGAAAATTATAGGCTTCAGAGCAGCTGATAAACATGTGTCTGCAACTGATTCCATCATTCCTTGTATATTCACAACTTTCATTTATAACTGTTGTATAAACTATGTCCAGTGGGAAAAAAACCATGGATGATGGGAATGTTTCAAGAAGAATTTTCTTTGAACTGCTGCAACAGCAGAACATAAGTGACAATTGCATTGGCCACCTGTTGGAATTGCATTGTATTGATTTGTGTGAAATCCATAAACATCAAATGATAGGTAAATTTTCACAGTCATCACCCAAAAAAAGGTTGATGCATTGAATGGGATTCCTGCTCCAACAGCATGAATTGACTCCACAGTCAGTTGATGGTACCATATTTGCAACTGTGAAGTAATCAATCAAATATGAAATAAGGATTGCAAAAGTATGCCTTGAAAATCCTGCAAGTCATTGAAATACATTTTCTATAATTGCAATCTATTGAGCAAAATACATTTTCAATCAAATAGGACTTCATTGGTTTTAATGAAAGGTGTGTTGAAACAAATATCCAAACCTCAGGCATTTCAGGATCCTGAATCAGCATCTTGTACAGGTCATCTTTTGGAGCCATTGCCTATTATGAACCCAGGAAAAACAAATTAAATCATTAACATCAAATAAAATTGAAAAAATACAGTATGAACTTACTGCATTTTCTAATTTTGTGAGGCAGACTATGACTGAGCCAATTCTGAAGATCTGAAGAGGTAACAGAACACCAAACTCCATAGGCACCTCAAAGTTTATTAGACTTTTCAGTTGGAAAACCCCATAAGTGAGGAATTCAGCAAAGAGAAGTGCTAATGTGTATCCAGCAAAACTGTTCCCAAGTTTTAGTAAATCACATGCCTCAGAATGCAGTTTCATCAGCTAAAAATACAGTACATCAAAATTTACCATGAGTTCCTTTTAAAAAGTAGCCATCTGACCTCTTTTATATCCAATTTTCTTGGCTGTACATGGTTTTCAGACAAAAGTTTCACAGCAGTAGATATTTTTGAAAATACCCAGAGTATGGGGCAATAAATTGCCAACAGATACACTGGTGCTATGCTCCACATTGCTCCAAAGATTGTGACATCCATCAATTGAACAAAGGCTTTTGTGGTTTCATCTTTAATGATGCAATGAATTGAATTCAGATTATGTATCACCTGTAATTCATAAACTTACCCATTTGCAAAGCAATCCAAATTTTTCTGAAGCTGTAGAAATATTCCAAGCAGTTCAGAAAAATTGCTGCAGTGGAAATAATCTTGATCTGCAAAAGACATTTATCTTCTTTTATTTCTGTGAACTGCTCATTCCAAGCAAATCTTCAAATGCCTAATAAATCTTCAAAATTGACTTGAATATTCAAAATCAAACTAAAACTTATTCACTTGTGCATCAGAGGCCTCTTAGGCATTCTTCAACTTGAACATACAATTATATGTGTACATTATATGTCTAAAATGTTCTTGGGTCATTGTTGAAAGTTGAACTGATCATGGAGGAAAGTGTTAAATACTAACCTTGATGTAAGAAACTTGCTTCCATTCCAAGAGTTTATGTTGCCTCATACCCAGAGATGCAAGTTTATGTTCAATCTCCATGAAACTCTCTGTGAATCTACATAGAATTTCAGCTTGATAGTTTCCAATCCAGTAGATGCTCAGACACAGTGGGGCAAAACTACTAAACTCAAGCACTGTGGAAATGGCTGTCACTTTCTGTTCTGTAGATGGGCCCACTCCATTCTTCACTGTGATGAATCTTATTGTCACATACACCAGGAATGCAACAAACACTGCAAAGGTTACCAGTTTGTACAACATTCTTGCTAAAGTGTGTCTCTGCACCAAAACACAGTTTTTCCATTTGAGAGGATTGCATCCCAAAATGGCCCCTATGAAAGTCAGGGGTTTTAGAGTTGCTGAAAGAACTGTTTCCTGAACTTGTAACATTCTTTTGTAACCTGTGTACTTCAACTGAATGGAAGGTAAAACCCCATGACTATTCCCATGCATTGAATAAGTATTTCTTATCAATTAAACCTAAAAGCATGTAATGCAATTGCATCTTCACTCACACTGAGCCAGCAAAAAAGGTAATTACTGAAAATGAAGCCTCATTTTGTTGATGCATTATGGAATATGTACATGCCCTATAAATAAGTGATGGCATATAATTCAGTGTACCATGTACAGTACTGTATATTTCTCTTGTTTCATTATTCAAATTCAGCAAAGAGCCACATACATACAATGCATAAAATATACATACAAATCATTGACAAAATGCAAATTTTCACATTTTCTAGTGCTTCAAAAAATTTACTGCATGAGGTAACAGAAAGCATAGGTCTTAGTGAGCCTTTTTTGAAAACCATACACATCTTTCAACGTATGATCATCTTTGAACTTTGTTTTCTCCCTCTGAAAAACACCACAAGTTTTCTATGTAATCATCCAAATGTTTGAAAGCTGGGGAATGATGATTGCTCATGCTTGTATAATAAATTTTATTTTTATTGGACAATTGAGAATGGTTGAAAATTTGAAATTGGACATGTTCATTGAATATATTCAGACAGTTATTCATTAGTTATTTTACTAAGCCAAATGGAGACTCACTTTTGATATTAATGCATGAGGATTAAGGTGGAAAATATATTTTATGATGATTCAAGTGTTTTTGAAATTGATTCAGATTATTTCAAGATATTGTATGTCTACATCAGCTTTCAACTGAATATAGTCTCTTCTTTAATTTTCAAAAATTGTCTATTTTGTATACAGAAATTTATGATCAATCTTTTCATCTTCCTCCATAAAAAAACTAAATTTCAGTTTGAAAATCATCAGAGTATAAAATATAATTGCAAAGAATTCTTTTTGAGTAGAAATGGTGATGCACCCACATAAAATATATGTAATCTTGTGTAATTCCTTGAATTGGTCAGGATAATTGTTTTCTTTTGTGTTTTTTCTTGCTCTTCTTGCATAGTGTTGTTAACTCTTGTCATTTGCTTGAAATTGTGCTCATGAATTAGTCACTCAGGAATAGAATTTTTTTTTGCCAATTATCCCCTTCATCATTGGGAAAGTCAATAGCTTCTTTTTGTGATCTTGGTGTCTTGGGTATTCCACAGACCATTTGGATTCAAGTTAAATTCACTTTTGTTCCTTAACAAAAGACCATTGTAAAGATTTTTCATGATTTTATGTATTGAGCATTAGATGGCTGCAGGAAATGCTGGAACCAGATCTAGATAAATAGTTCATAAAACAGCATAACTGCTATGAATTGTCTATGTCTTTCTGTATACTATGTGGAAATCATGGAAAGTTGATGGCTTGGTGATTTTTAATAAATTTCCAATCTGCCATTTCAAGACATTTATTAATGATCAGCCAGTTGAAAGAAAAAATCAGTGCACATGTTTAGAATCCCTGAGATCACAACCATCTTCAACTGAATACACCACAGTGGTACCATGAAGGTGGTTTTATGGTCTACTTTCAACCTAGAGGTACCTTCAGGAAAATAACCTGCTTCCATTGAAACCCCTTGTGCTGAGAGTGAAACAATATTTATAAATTCCAAGTCAATAATCTTCCAACTGGGCCAGTTCCTCAAATGAAGCTTTGTTTGCAATGTTCAATCAGTGATTCAATGAATAACTGATGCTGAGAGTTGTTGACATGATGTTAGACTTCAAATTCATGCTTGAGGGACATACAGTATAACTTCAAATTGAATATGGAAATGCAGAAAATATGTGAATCAAAATTTGTCCAAGTGAAGTTTTTTCCAAGTCTCAGAGTTTGAAACCATTCCAGTGCAAAGAAAAACCTTGGTTAGGCTTCCAGTGAAAGCAATTTTTCTGCTGATTCCATCATCACCTGAATACTCCTCTTTTGTCCATTAATGATTGTGAAAGTAAGCACTGGAAACCATTGTATGAAGGGCATTTCATTTAGGTCCCTCTGTGAACTGCATCAACAGCAGGACATAAGTGACAATTGCATTGGCCACCTGTTGGAATTGATTTGTGTGAAATCCATAAACATCAAATTATTGGTAAATTAATTCCAGTCAATACCCAGAGGAAAGTTGATGCCTTGAATGGAATTCCTGCTCCAACAGCATGGATTGATTCCCCAGACAGTTCATGGTACCACACATGCAGCTATGAAGTAATCAATCAAATATAAAACAATGCTTTCAAAATTATGTCATTAAAATCCTGCAAGACATTTAATTGGAACTTGAGTGGTTTTAATAAAAGGTGTGCCAAAACAAGTTTCCAAACCTCAGGCATTGCAGGGTGCTGAATCAGCATCTTGTATATGTCATATTTTGGAGCCATTGCCTGTTATGAACCCAGGAAAAGCAAATCAAATCATTAACTTGAAATTAAATTTTAAAAAGCAGGATGAACTTACTGCATTTTCTAATTTGGTGAGGCAGACTATGACTGAGCCTATTCTGAGAAACTGAATGGGTAACAGAATACAATGCTCCAAGGGCACCTCAAAGCTCATTAAACTTTTCACTTGGAAAACCCCATAAGTGAGGAATTCAGCAAAGAAAAGTGTTAAAGTGTATCCAGCAAGACTGTTTCCAAGTTTTAGTAAGTCACATGCCTCAGAATGCTGTTCCATCAGCTAAAAACATACCAAAATTCATTAGCAATACATAAAAAAAGAGCAAATGATATGAACTGACCTCTTTAATATTCAGAGCCTTGGGATCCCCAAAGTTCTCTGACAAACAATTGACAGCTTTAGATATTTTTGAAAATACCCAAAGTATTGGGCCATAAATTGTCACCAGAATAAATGATATGAACTGACCTCTTTAATATTCAGAGCCTTGGGATCCCCAAAGTTCTCTGACAAACAATTGACAGCTTTAGATATTTTTGAAAATACCCAAAGTATTGGGCCATAAATTGTCACCAGAAACACTGGTGCCAGGCTCCACATTGCTCCAAAAACTACATTCTCCGTGAATTTGTAAAAGGACACTGTGATGTTATCTGATGTTGAAAAAGAATGAAAGTCATACTGACAACATTCCTTGCTGATCTACAACTTACTTGCATTCAAAATGTTCCCAACTTTCCTCAGACTGTAGAAATATTCCACACTGCTCAAAAGGATGAATGCAGAAATTACAAATTTTATCTGAAAGAAAAATTTATTACAGCATTATGGAATATTGAAATTGAAAAAATGAGACATATTCACAAAATTGCAACATCAACTTATGTATCCAAGCATACACATTGGCAATTGATCGCTGATGTAATTTTTACAATTTTTCAAATGACAATTGCATAAATTCAAATGTAATTCAACCTTCAATATTCTTCAGAATCAACCTTGGTGCTCATCTTACACAGGGTACACAACAAAATACAGTACTGCATTTGAATTTGTCCATCTTGAATGAGTACAGTTCTGGAGTAGTTATTTTTTATTTTTGCATTTGTAAAATTAATTTTTTTCACCTTTTTGTAAGATATTTGTTTCCACTCCAAGAATATATGCTGTCTGATCCCTACACAAAACAATTTCTCTTCCATCTCCATGAAACGCTCTGTGAACTTGCAGAGAAGTTCACTTTGAAAGTTGCCAGTCCAGTAGATACTCAATGACAGAAAAGCAAAACTGGTGAACAGAAGCAGTATAGAAACTGATCTGATTTTCTGCTCTGTGGATGGGCCCACTTCATTTTTCAGCTTGATGACCCTTACTGAGAGGTACACACAAAATGCCACAAAAATGACAAAGAAAACCATTTTGTAAATCATCCTTGCAAAGGTGTGTCTCTGAACCAACACACAGTTCTTCCATTTCAGGGGATTGCAACCTAAAATGGCCCCCATGAAAGTCAANGTTTTATGGTCTACTTTCAACCTAGAGGTACCTTCAGGAAAATAACCTGCTTCCATTGAAACCCCTTGTGCTGAGAGTGAAACAATATTTATAAATTCCAAGTCAATAATCTTCCAACTGGGCCAGTTCCTCAAATGAAGCTTTGTTTGCAATGTTCAATCAGTGATTCAATGAATAACTGATGCTGAGAGTTGTTGACATGATGTTAGACTTCAAATTCATGCTTGAGGGACATACAGTATAACTTCAAATTGAATATGGAAATGCAGAAAATATGTGAATCAAAATTTGTCCAAGTGAAGTTTTTTCCAAGTCTCAGAGTTTGAAACCATTCCAGTGTAAAGAAAAACCTTGGTTAGGCTTCCAGTGAAAGCAAGTTTTCTGCTGATTCCATCATCACCTGAATACTCCTCTTTTGTCTATTGATGATTGTGAAAGTAAGCACTGGAAACCATTGTATGAAGGGCATTTCATTTAGGTCCCTCTGTGAACTGCATCAACAGCAGGACATAAGTGACAATTGCATTGGCCACCTGTTGGAATTGATTTGTGTGAAATCCATAAACATCAAATTATTGGTGAATTAATTCCAGTCAATACCCAGAGGAAAGTTGATGCCTTGAATGGAATTCCTGCTCCAACAGCATGGATTGATTCCCCAGACAGTTCATGGTACCACACATGCAGCTATGAAGTAATCAATCAAATATAAAACAATGATGTCAAAATTATGTCATGAAAATCCTACAATCCATTGAAATGAGTCCTCAAGAATTTCAATCTATTGAGCACAATATATCTTCAATCAAATGGGGCTTGAGTGGTTTTAATGAAAGGTGTGCCAAAACAAGTTTCCAAACCTCAGGCATTGCAGGGTGCTGAATCAGCATCTTGTATATGTCATATTTTGGAGCCATTGCCTGTTATGAACCCAGGAAAAGCAAATCAAATCATTCACTTGAAATCAAATTGAAAAAAAAAACAGGATGAACTTACTGCATTTTCTAATTTGGTGAGGCAGACTATGACTGAGCCTATTCTGAGGAACTGAATGGGTAACAGAATACAATGCTCCAGGGGCACCTCAAAGCTCATTAGACTTTTCAATTGGAAAACACCATAAGTGAGGAATTCAGCAAAGAAAAGTGTTAAAGTGTATCCAGCAAGACTGTTACCAAGTTTTAGTAAATCACATGCCTCAGAATGCAGTTCCATCAGCTAAAAACAATACCAAAATACATTAGAAACACACTTAAAAAAAATGATATGAACTGACCTCTTTAATATTCAGAGCCTTGGGATCCCCAAAGTTCTCTGACAAACAATTGACAGCTTTAGATATTTTTGAAAATACCCAAAGTATTGGGCCATAAATTGTCACCAGAAACACTGGTGCCAGGCTCCACATTGCTCCAAAAACTACATTCTCCGTGAATTTGTAAAAGGACACTGTGATGTTATCTGATGTTGAAAAAGAATATAAATCCAACTGACAACATTCCTTGCTGATCTACAACTTACTTGCATTCAAAATGTTCCCAACTTTCCTCAGGCTGTAGAAATATTCCACACTGCTCAAAAGGATGAATGCAGAAATTACCAATTTTATCTGAAAGAAAAATTTATTACAGCATTATGGAACATTGAAATTGAAAAATGAGACATATTCACAAAATTGCAACATCAACTTATGTATCCAAGCATACACATTGACAATTGAAGGCTGATGTAGTTTCCACAATTTTTCAAATGACAATTGCATAAATTCAAATGTAATTCCACCTTCAATATTCTTCAAAATCAACCTTGGTGCTCATCTTACACAACAAAGTACAGTACTGAATTTGTATCTGTCAATCTTGAATGAGTACAGTTCTAGAGTATTCATTTTTTATTTTTGCATTTATAAAATTGATAAAAAAGTGGAAAAACATTCTATAAACAAAGGTGAGGTTCTTATATACGACAGACTAGGGATGTGTTTTGTTAAAGAGAAGGTAGAGGTACTTTGCGAGACACTTGAACGTCTCTTCAAGTGAAACTTAGTTGCCAGTCCAGTAGATACTCAATGACAGAAAAGCAAAACTGGTGAACAGAAGCAGTATAGAAACTGATCTGATTTTCTGCTCTGTGGATGGGCCCACTTCATTTTTCAGCTTGATGACCCTTACTGAGAGGTACACACAAAATGCCACAAAAATGACAAAGAAAACCATTTTGTAAATCATCCTTGCAAAGGTGTGTCTCTGAACCAACACACAGTTCTTCCATTTCAGGGGATTGCAACCTAAAATGGCCCCCATGAAAGTCAAGGGTTTCAGAGATGCTGACAAAACTGTGTCCTGAACTTGGAACATCTCTCTTTGGCCCATTTTCATCAACTGCATAAAAAGAAGCAAACCCTCAGGACAGCCCATTCATTATCCAAATTTGTTCAACCCTGAAAGCACTTACAAGTGATCACTGTTATTAGGGAGTAGTCATCACTTGTAGGTGAGCTACACTGAACCATAATGAAAACAAATGCATCAAAAAAGCCTTTATTCTGTTTGACACATATTAAAATATACATAGATACACTACAAAGAGGTGAAGGCATAGCATTCACATACAGTATTTCTTCCCTGTTTCCTTATTCCAAGTTATCACAGAGCCACAGGCACACATAAAAATATGCATAAAAGCCATTGAAAAAAAAATTCAACTTTCACTCACATGCAGCAGAAGATTTATCAGCTTGAGGTAACTGGAAACAATAGTTTCAGTGAACCCTTTTTTTTAAATTTGTGACTGACCTTGCATAGAAAATAAAAACATGGTGACTGTGTTGATTGAATGGATACAAGCATTCAAGAGGCACCAAAAGAATTGCAAGTTTTGGTATTAAAAAAGACCAGTGGCTTTCAATGTGTTAGTTTAGTAAGATGGCTGCCCAGTTGTGGTTGTAGGCAACTTTGTCTCCTGAGGCAGTTCCCCAGAACGGTAACCTTTGAACTTGAGGAAGGCATCAAACCCATACACCATCATGGCAATGAAGCCAAAGAACTGCAAAAAAAGTTGAAGTCATTTTGAATCAACAGCATCCATCTGGTCATTCTTTTTAAATAAATTGAAATTCAAAAATTTAGCAGGTAAATGAATCCTACAACAGATTCACATGAAATATGTAAAATTGTGTACAGGATGTTGATGAACTAAATTTCAAATCTATAATCATCCATACCCAAGATTTTCTACAATTTGGTTTAAATTTGTTGCAAAAACCAGACCCAGTTGAAGAGGGAAGTAGGGTGGTAAATATTCAATATTTCTTACTGCAGCTGCAGCCCAGGCAGCAACTCTTCCACCTTGAGATGCACAAGCAGCTGCTGCTGTCATGTAGAAAAAGCTCCATAATGCATTGTACAGGAACTCCTGTAAAATGAATTGATAAACAGTCAAATCTCAACCAAGGATGAGAAAAACAAATTTAAAAGAAAGACTCACAATCAACAGCCATTTGATTGTGTAAAACTTCTCCACAATGTGAAACAGGTAGAACACCAGAAGGACCCCAGTGATCCAAAAGCCTCCAATGCACACAAAATAGTACCAGTTAGCTTTTGAATGCTGGGAATGGTCTGAGGCTGCAATGCAGATGAAGCCAATGGCACTCAGCACCTGCAAATAAAAAAAATATATATATATAGTGAGACTATCATGCAGAAAAATAATTAATCTCCCAGTTTAGAAGTTGTATACAGAATTATTTACAATACCTTGGATTTTCTTAGCATAAAACTCACAAAAGCCCTTTAGCAAACTAATACAATTGACCAATGGAAATCCAACACTAAAATGTAATCCATTTTGAAATAAGTTAACCAATGCCTCAAAGATACTATAGTTGTTTGGTTGTATCAACTTTGAATTGCTAAATTAATATTCCAGTGATAAATTATCTTCAAGGTCCTATGTATGTTCGAATAAAAAGTATACATTTTTGTATAATTTTTTTCAGGATCCAAGAGCTTCTTCATGCAACAATATTTTAACTCTTAGTTAGAGTGTGTTCTTTGTACAGGATTTCCTTCAACTTCTGACTCACTGATTGAAATTGTATACTTTTTGCATGTGAATCCTAAATGTGAATTGTATACAATATTTGAAAACATGTATTTTAGCATTCTACTGGGGTTATCTGATCTCATAGTTTTAATTTTTTTTTACCCACAAAACCCCCAAAAGGACAAAGACTTCCTTAAATCCTCATGATAAATTGTATTAATTCAATCTGATTTTGAATGATTTTGTTGTAATGAGATTTTTCTTCAAATATCCATTAGCCATTTGACTGTCCAAGAAAGCAGAAGACTAGCATCTGTTGAAAAACCCTTGCATTGTTTACAATAACATTCTCACCATGGCAGCAATTTTGAGTATCCCTGCTGTAGTCCGGACATATGAGGCATCAAACCATAGACTTGCAGAAGCCTGGTTGGTCTTGGTTGTCGCAGTTGTGACAGTTGTATGCGCTGCTGGAAACCCTGGATCCATCCTGTCACTTTTCCACTCACTCACATACACTCTCAACAACCCTTGAAAAAAACAACAGAAGGCAACATTCAATAAACTTTAGGACATTTCTTTCACATCACATAATGGAATAAATTAAATTAATAAAACATAGAAAAATTTCCTTACATAATATGGCTAACCAAGTAATCCCAATTTTCTTTCATCTGAGGAAGTTTTTTAAAGAGAAAGCTCTGGAGAGTAATGAGATGGCATTTTGAGGCTTGTTTAATTCATTTAAATTTAAGCAATTCACTGCAGTAGTTCACTTAGGATGAGTTCTGTAAAGCAAAGTGATTCTCATTTTTTCCATTCCCTCAACAACCAAAAATTTTTCAGAGAACACATACTGCGTTTGCTCAAGTACCTACAGGCACTTATTCCTTCAATATAGTTGAGTGCAAATGTTCCAGTACATTTTTCATCATCAAACTTTTCCCCCACTTGTAAAGTTTCTTCTGAATTGACAAATGTATGGAATTTCAACTGAAAACTAAAATGCCCTTCTTAAGCAGGAAAGCAATATTTTCAAAATTTTGAGCTCAACATCTAAGGTGCATGTCATACTTGAGGGTGCTTGGTACTCAAGTAAATAGAGTTTACTTTTATACTCTATTAATTTTAAAAATATAATTGTACTTCTTTATTTTCTTCTTCCACTCCATAAAAAGTAAAAGAGGCCATATTAAAAAAAACTAGTTTACAATAAATTCATCACAGCAAATTTCTTTTAGAAAAATGTCTCCTTCATCTTCTCTTCCTTGAATCGGGATCACTTGAACTCACTTTTCCAAAGAAACGCCCCCTCCCTCAAGCACTGATCCTGAATATCACAACGTGCCACATAACACAACAGCACCACCGCCAGCACAAATAAAATCACAATAACAATCTCAGGTTTTAGTGTATGACCCAAACTTGGCCCCGAACGGCAAAGCGTAACAGGTCAACCAGGAATAATCCAACCCAGTCACGTTCCCCGTCTCTTCCCTCAGACTCTCCTTGACCCTGGCCAAAAACTCAGCCTCGTCAAACTTTTTCACCGCCTGTTTGTATCCCGTGTACGCCAGGGTTTTCATGAAGAAGTCGTAGAAGGGATTCACCGTCGGACGCGTCCATTGCGGCGACCCCCAGTAGCGGGACTCCATTTGTGGCGGCGATGAGTCCGATGATGACTCCGACGTTGCGGTGGTGCTGGTGGACGACTCATTGGACGAAGAGGGACTATTACTCGGCATTGCAGCAGGCTGTTCAGGCAACGGGATGAGGCGGGCTTTTTCCCGAGGCTGTTTCTTCTCCTGACCGGAAAACAGCGGCGCCTTAAACGCGTCGAGGGCTCACAGGTCCGGGTCCTGCCTCATTGCCCGTGCTAGGAAGTTTGAGGCGAGAACTGCCCTGAGGTACGTTGTCAGGTTCCGTCGCTGTAGCACTGGATGGGCCTCAGTATTGAAGATGAACCTGGTGATGTAGAAGGTACGTACAGTAAGTTGATGAATTTCGCCTCAAACATTCACTGACACTCGATTTTTTTTTTTATCTTTTAGGTAAGGATCGCTTCAACAGTTCACTGAAACCAGAGCTGATCTGTGGTACATTACCGAAGAAACTGTATTTTCACGTTATGGATTTGCTCTCCTAGATGTCTCTCCCTAACACTAAACAAAAAGTCAATTCTTAGATTTAATTGGACCTTATCCTATAACGAGGACCATATTTCATTGGTCCTCGTGTTTATAAAAAATTCGGAAATAGTTCCCCAAAAATTAAATGAAAATTTTTCTTGCAACTTCAAGATGCAGAAGAAAACCCACGAAGAATCTGGTCTTTTTGGCATGAAAAGGAACTTTAAAAACAAAGAAAAACAACAAGTTTTGAAGTATTTGCAATGATGTTTTAAAAAAATTGCCCATCTTGGATCAGGAAGTAAAGCCAATTTGTAGTTTTTGAACTCAGTTTGTTCAAGTCAAGAGATAAAATTCATTCTCTCTAACTGAACTAACATCCCCTTGGAATGATTTTAAACTTTTAAACGTAGATACACAAAACTAAAATTGAATTTTTACAGGTTAATTTTTTAGAATATCATCTGGGCACTAGATAGCTAGCTTTTCTGGAGTCCTTTTGATGATGTCCTTTAGATCACATTCTGTGAGGGGATTCTTCTGCATTTGAAGGGATTTATTCCGAATGTTTGAACAGGGGAACCAATTGATTTTGTGGCAAGAACCACCAGGATATATTGGCGGGTGGGCCTGTGCTTCTTCGATTATTTTTTTTTTATTGTGTGTCACCAGTGAGCCATTTTTATGGCACCAAATTGTGCCAGACCATCCAGTCCACCATCCTCGCAAATTCGTGGGTAATGCAGAAGAATATTCATATATCATATTATTTTGATGAATTTTCAAATTACTGCTTCACGCATAAAATGATGGAGGAAATTAGGATAAAAATAATGACAATGACGATCCACGCTTTATATTTCGCATGGGGCAGAAGAAAAATTTAATCCATTGAAAAAACTTCATTATTGTCTTGTTCCTCCTACCTACCACCTAAGCCCAGACCGTGTTAAACCGTGCAAGGTTGTAAGCCGAGATAAACAAACCGAGTGACCTTATTTACGCTGTCTTTATGAGAGTCGTTATTAAGAAGAACTTTTTAAACTGAGTATTTATAATCATTTATTCAAGTTTTCAATAAGAATTGAATAATTCAATAAAAAATATAAATGAAACTGTAGCTTTCAAACATGTTTTTAGCAATTAGTTGGACCAATTCACATTGATGAAATGTGTTTTTAGCATGTACAATAAAAATTTCTTAAAACGAAACAACGATTTATTTTATTACTCAAATTTTGTTTTTACATTCATACAAGTCTTCATATCATATAGTCGTTTCTCCATTCCAGTGAGCCAAACAAATAGAGCCGAATGTCGGACCCTGCCAAATTGTGCCAGACCCAAGTCCACCATCCAAGGGCAAAACCAAAGATTCATAATAATTTAACTCTTGATTGAAATCTTTCTGTCCCTCAAAATGAATTACTGATTATTGTTACATTGCCCTCTAACTTGAAGGAGGATGTAACTCGGGTCTGGCACAATTTGGCACGCAAGAGCGGCCATGAAAATGGCGTCCAACATCCGGCGCTATTTGTTTGGCTCACTGCTGGTTCGTTCCCATCCACCCCATCCCACTGAAAAAATATTATTCGGATAATAAAAATGATTTATTTTTGAATAATTAATTAATTCAATTGAAGAAGTAGTAGAGAAAATTTGCCCTATTAACTTCCAAATGATAAAAAGAAACAACATTTGAGATTAGCGTAGTTTTCTTTATAGCATTTCACTGCAGAGTTAAATTCAGAGGGGACCATTGCCATTAAACGCGAGAGCGGCCATGAAAATGGCCTCCAACATCCGACACCATTTGTTTGGCTCACTGTTACCCACATTAAGATGAATACATTAATAAGATGACATATTGGATTTTACAGAAGATTAAAATTTTTGGTCGTTCGCTAACTCATCAAGCAACTGGAAGTTTCCAAGTTGAATTTAAACATTATCTCAGTAAAATGTATCCAGAACTTTTTCCTTTACTTTTAATTAAACAAGTATACCTTAATTAATGATCTTGAGTAGAAATATTGAGATATCAAGATTATTTTTTGCTTTTTACAGAAAAAAAGGAGCAATGCTGAAAATCCTCATGAATACGACATAAAATGTAGAAATTAATTTACTGTACATTCCTTGAAACACTTTTTTTCTTCATTAAAATGATGAGGATTTTCAGCATTGCTCCTTTTTAGAAGCAGCATCGATCATACAACAAGTTGAAACTAGCGCTGTCATCTGTGATGCACCAAAAAAACCCCACATCCACAGTAATTTACTCTTTTGCTCTCACAGATGTCGCTGTTTCGCTCGCTCACTCACCCTCCAGACTCCACCACGCACGTCCTCGAGTCGCCAAAATCCGACTCCACGCTGACCCGCACTCCACTGCCACCCGGATTGTGGATCCAATGATCGGGCGTGAAGAGCAAGTACAAGTACTTGACCGTTTCCGCGAGGAAGAAGGACTCCATCCGGTCTTCGAGCTGGTGCGTGAGCACGTTCTTCACCGTCGCATAGCCGCAGGCAGTCTTGGCGCTGTGCTCAATGGACGCCAGGATGTCGACGCCCATGTCGAGCACAAAGGGGTCCCGGGTTGCCCGGTACAAGTACATGACGGACTCTGCGAGTTCGGGTCGCAGTGGGTACCCGTGTCGGGATCCCACTTCTTGCTGTGAAGAAAAAAGGAAGATTTACGATAAAAATTAACATTACAAAAAAATCTCGTCGACTTTTTTTCATGGATCAAAAATCATTTTCAGGGCACCAGTAGTTTTCAGGTACGAACCATGATGTTAAAATCTTGCTAAAACAAACGATTTTTTTTTTTAATCCGTAATATTATTATAACAATTGTTTCGCCCGGGTTTACAATAAAAATAAACATTACGAAAAATCTCGTCGACTATTTTCCATGGATCAAAATCATTCTCAGGGCTCCAGCATTTTTCTGGTGCGAACCATGATGATAAAATCTTGTTAAAACAAACTTTTTTTTCAAATCTGTAATATTATTATAATAATTGTTTCGCCCTGAATATGCGTATGGGCCAAAATAATGTCGATCATCGGCAACACTTATTTTCTCATCCAGAGATAAAATTCCAAATTTTGATGTAATAGTTTTGGCTCCAAAATTTTTCCATTCTGCGGGGTTTTTTTTTCTGATGCGAAGACCCACTGTTTAATGAAAAAGTTGGGATACATTTTTTTTTAACGAAATTGACTCATTCCTTTTTGCTGAAAACCTCAGAAAAAAAACAAACGTTCCGTCGTTCCACGAGTGGCACCACAAGCAAATCACGCGTACGAGAAGCTAAAAAAAAAACACTTCACTCACAGTCGGCACACTGTAGAATTCCGGCGTGAACCCAAACTGCTTCCACACGAGGCGGTAATTCTTGAGGGACGCCATGGCGGATCCAATGTCGCCAATGAGACTCAGGACGCCGGGCCAGTACGCCTCCAGACTCTGAAACACCGGCATGGTGATGGCACCCCTGGACATGGTGCCCCAAAAGTGCCACCCGCCGTGCTCCAAGTAGTCCCGAATGGGCTTCCGCGCGTAGTCAAACATCTCCAGCAACACCGGGTCCCGTCTCAATATTCCGCCTTTCACCTGTCGGGGCATTTCATTTGCATCATCATCATCCTCATTGAATAAAACGAACGAACATACATACATACACACACACACAGACGGGAATATCGCGCAGCTTTCACTCGGGTTATTACGCAATTCCTATGAAATCTTGACTTTCAAACACATAAAAATAAAATAATCTCCCTAAAAAATTCAAAATTTTTTTTCTACCAGTCCCAGTTTAATACCCTTGGGGGGAAATGCATTAAAACCTTGCAAAATCCAAGGCTTTCCCTCTCAAAGCTCCATTACTCAAATTTCCTGGAGAACTTTTAGCTGGTGCATCAAGAGTGTCCCTAAGCCAAGTCCTGTTTTCTCATAGACTTACATTATAAAATTTTAATTGGTGTTTTATGGAAGAAATATTCTTCCAAAATCCCTGAAAAATATTGTTTGCCTCTTGAATTTGAATTATAGTGAATACATTTTCAACTCAATCAGAACATTTGGAGCATTGCATAGTGGACCTCTGTACAGTACATTGAAACGTTGGCACCTGTAAAAATAAAATTATTCAGAAAGAGAGAAGAAAGTCCCTCTATCCTATAGTTATTTTTTTTAATAGCTGAATGGATGGGAAAATGAGGGGGTAAATGCATTACCAAATAATTTTTCTTCTATAGATCTTAGGGTTGGAAATATCTGCTTATTGAAATTAAGCCTAATAAAATTCAATTTTCCTGAAATGTATTGGGAATTTCATCATTCCATGTCTGCAAATTGAGTCAGTGTCCATATGTTGGGCCTTTTTTATGCCTTTTTTTATTGAAAAATAAATGTCCCCATGTCAAATTGTCTGCATGTGGGGGTCTCACTGTATTATATTTTATAGACAAAGGAAAGAGAAAAGCAACAACATTTTAATTCAATGTATTGTGAAAAAAAAGTGGAAGGCTGATTTGACAAATGAACCCTTGCCTCCCAAGTTTAGCATCCTGTCAACTCATTTAAGAAGCAATTTAATTCCCAGAATTTCATCAATTCCTTTTAGTTATTTTTTTCTTTCCTGCAACAAAAATTATCATTTCCCAAACTTGATTTTTTTTCTTCATTCCTTGAAATTCGACTGTATACCTGAAATAAATTCCCCCTCTAAAACAAATATTCCAGAGATGATTATTTTTTCACATCTGCATAGATGTCGTTTGATCTCTTCAAAAAATAACATAAAAGTAAAAAATACTGCGCATCAATCAAAAAACTAATAATGCGCAAGACTTAAAAAAAAAAAAAAAACTTGTGAACCAACCCTCACATGAAAAGTCGAAGCAAATTTAAATGAAATACGGAATACCGTACATAATATCGAACCCCTTTCCTCTAATAAATTGAAGCAAAAAAATAGGCATTCAATTTTTTGAATTATTTGAATTATTTTTTTCACAAATTTGAAACTTTTCTCCCCACTCTCAGTTTTTCTATTTTAGTTAAGCTGCTATATTAATGGTGCGAAACAAAAATTGCCATTGATTTCAACTTTAAAGTGAGCTTCAATTCCGATTTTAAACCGCCCACAGCATTTAATAATTTTTTGGTGCAATACTTCAGCTAAAAAATCCAAAGGTACGAGTCTTTCTCTAGGGCACATGACACAACACTCGAGTTAATAATGGGTACGTGAATAAAATTTTTCAAAAACATTATTATTTATTTTTTATTTTTTTTGTTCCTGCTAACCATGTATTCCAGATACGAGTCCACACCGGCGCCGATCCCGGACTCGATGGCGGTCCACTTGCCAGTGGACACGTCGATGTGATTGCCAAACAAGCCAATGCTCGACCGGCGACTCCAGAGGCCATTCATGGCCCGCATGGCCACGTCCTCGAAAATCGGGTCCCCAGTGAGTCGGGACAGCGCTGAAAATTCCACAATGTACGTGCCAACCCCGGCTGTGCACGTGACTGGAGTCTCGCCCTTGGGCACGCCGTGTGCCAAATTGATGGTGCCGAACGGCATCCCCGTGGGCGTGTCGAAGGCGGGCAGGAGACGTCGGGCAATGTCGACGGCCAGGTCCAGCAGGGGGCCCTTGCAGGGCCAGCCGGGATCCAAATCCATCCCTGCTCTGTTCACAAACACACACACAAACGTCGAAAATTTTCGAGTTAAAGAAAGATATTTAAATTAGAGAAGATTCGAACCAGAGACGGAGATTTGAATTTTATAATGTTTTTTTCAATCAGTGAAGATTTAAATTTTGAAAGATTTAGATTAGAGAATATTTGAAATAGATAAGATTTAAATTAGAGAAGATTCGAACTAGAGAAGAATATTTAAATTGAAAAAGATTTGAATTTGGGTAGATTTAAATCAGAGAAGAAGACTTGAATTATATGAGAACATTTGAATTACATGAGAAGATTTGAATTAGTTCTTCATAGTTCTTCACTTGGATTCATAGAATCTAGGAACTGTGTAGATGTCTTCAATTTTTCAAGTTACTTTTTTCGTTGTCAGGTTCGAGGATGCAATACATAATTCCATTTCCAATCCCAAATTATCATTTTTAATTACTGTACATGAAAAAAAACTAGGAATTTTTAAATTCAATTTTTGAAACACAGGGTAAACGATGCTTCTATCATCAGCCTGACGGAAAGTAATCAAACCCAAGCATATGTTCGACTCTTCTCAACAAAACATTCAGGCGACATCTACGTTACAGCCATTAAACTCATAGCATCAAAGACACCAAAGATAAGAGCTCAATGAATCTACCTTCTCGCAAAAAGATGAGCACTGATAAGGCCTCCAACAATCCGAATGTTCGTCTCGAAGACAGAAACGTTGATATTGGCCTCGAAATTCTTCCGGGAGCTGATGAGGAGATCTGCGACACGGCGGAATTCGCTGTGGTTGCCCAAAATTGCCAAAGTGTCCAAGGCGTCGATGAGTGTAAGGGAATAGCTGTAAAAAAAAAAAAAGATACGTGAAAGTAATTGAACGGATTCATCTTTGATCAGAATGTCAAATAGGTGTCGCTCGAATCACAAAATAGACAAAAAATTGGCCAACCGAAAAACAGAACCTTCTGGATACGAACAGTCATTTTCACAGCTTCGAAACACAAATGGAAAAAATAAGATTGTCCAATATAACAGCTTTCGCACAAGAACAAATTCAAGTGAATAAGCAGATGAGGAATTTCGGCATGCGATTCATCCAAAAGAACCAGGGAAGTTTACGAATTCCAGGTACATCTCACGAAGACAAACATAAACTCCCGTATCCGGCTATTAAAAGTGTTACGTAGGTGTCGCTCGAAGATCACATCCATATCGTTCGTGCGCACGAAAATGTGGCAACATCAAATGTTTATTGGCACTTGTTTGCAGATAATCAAATTTCATTCAGCACTTGCACAATTTACCTGCCCCAAGTGTCGATTCCGTCACAGGACAACGGTCGAAGCTCGTCCAAAGGAAACCCATGTTTCATGTATCCATCATAGGCGTGGTAGAACATTTCAACGACTTGCTGCCTACGAATATTCATCACGATTAGAATCAATCACTCAGGCACGGATTCCCCCAAAATTTCACACAAGAAAATACGATTCATACAAACAAGGAACTTTTTAAAAACTGTACACCATTGTACTGTATATCGATGAAACACCACGACTCAACAATGAATTCTTTCACAATAATTATTGAACCACACTTCACAGAAATTATTTAGAACGAAGAGGAAAAAGGTTTAAATTTTCCAGCGATTTCATTGGAGAAACAGAAACAAAAATAATTGATACGGACGAGTCACTTTTTTTAGTTATTGTTGGAACACCACGTCTCCACATAAAAATTCCACGCACACATTCTTTTTTTTTTAACTTAGTTCTTCAAAAATTAAATCCACTTTTTAGGATTTCACTCGCACAAAAAATGAAACAATTGGAATTTTTCGGAGAAAAACCCTAAGGTTAGGGAGGTCTTCAAAGCATCGTTTCTAAGGAAACTCACGAGTCACGACTTCAAAAAATTCAACGAAGAAATTTATTCGACTTGGTGAGTTTCGAGTTATCGAAGTTAACCTGCATTTCATTCTGCAAAATTCCAATAGTTTCACTCTTGAAAACGTAATGCAAGTTAAAAAAATTTTTGAATCGTAGAAAAATTCTCGTCGAATGTTTCCACTGGTCCTTTTAAATTCGCCCTTACAAGGATAAATTCGAAATAAATTTGCAATTGAAAGCTGTAAAAAGAAAAAAACAAGAAAAAGTGTATGCACCTGTACTGGGACAAGTCGGGCACAGGCGCCGCTCCGAAGGCGAAGGCGCACAGGGACAGCGCGGAGGCGGCGACCAAAGAGAGCGCCACGCGATTTTTCGCATTCATCGTTCAAAAGGAACCGTCTTCCGCGGCGGCGTGCGTGGGCGGACGTTTCACTTCCGCGAAGAGCTCCGATGGGCGTCGTCCGCTTCCCTTCCTCTCCTTCTTCTTTTATCTCTCTTTATTTTCCTCACACACAGCACAGATCACCATCTCTATCTGTCGATCTCTTGTTCGGGAATAAACCCTGAAATCGCGAACTTTCGCGAAAAGAGAAAAAGAAGAAGGAGAAAAAAGATTAGATATCACACGAAACGATCTCATTCTTCTCCACAAGCTCATTTCACTTCAATGCCCGCGAGATTTCTCGGAAAAATTATGCAAAGGGTGTAGTGATGAAATGTGGACTGATTTTTTTAAAAATCAGAAATATACTGTCGAAAACCTTCATAACTCGAAATTTTGTTTTTAGTCCCAAGGAAGGACACGAAATTCGAATGGCAATAATGCTTTCGGAAATGAAATGAGCAATTTTAATTGGTACATAAAATCCTGGCGTGAGGCTCTGCATCCTTTAGGCTCATTTATTCTGCGGTTCTTATTTTTTTATGCAGTGGGAATAATTAAGGAAGTGCTTTTGTACACAATGCACACACAGTTGCAGCAAAAAATGCAGCCACGATTAATTCTTTTAAAATTTACCGCAAGCATTTTTAGACCTAGTTTCCCTAAACTCAAAACCTCTTAGAGGTCAAATTTTTTCTTTGATCCCAACTTAATTCAACTTACGAAAGGTCCAACAGTATAAATACTGCACACTTGTACAGTATTCCGAAAAGTAGGAGAAACATAATGTGATTTGAGCTCTGAATTGAAGTTCCTTCAGAATAAATATTCAATATTCCAGATGAAACATTCGTAATCCTGAAGTAATTGAATAAAATTTAAAATGTTCATAGAGTTCATTAGTTTGGTGCAGAGGCGACACCTATCTCACATTTAACAAAGCGAGGTCGGACACTGAAGTCAAAAGAACCCTTTTCTTCTTCACTGGAAATTCGTCGCGAGTCTAGTGAGAGTTACAGAAGTTGACTTCTTTTCCTGGTCAATTATATTTTCTTGTTTATTCCTGAATAAACCGTGTATCGACAATGAGTAATATATTCACAACAGCTCTTCTTTCTTTTTTTTTTTCAACGGCGCGTTTTCTTGGGCTTCTTCTTGGCATTCCTGTGGGTTCTCGGGCCACTTGGGATCGGCGTGGCTTCATTACTTGCTGCTCCATCCGCCTTGGGACGATGCTTACTCATGTCGCTGTGAAAAAAATTCACGGTTAGTCGAGCATTCCGAAAAAATGGAAAATTTCAAGTCTAAATAAAAATTGAAGTCTACCAAAGAAACAAAAATTCGTAAAATGTCCGACGTTTTAAATTTAAAAAGTGCAGAAAAAGGTGCTAAAAAACTGTGGGATCACATCAAAAGCAAAGACAACATTTCATATTCATGATTAAATTATACACTGACGTAAATAACATTGCCACCATTTTGGAGAGACCTCAAGAATCAATTCATTCTAAACAATATTTCGTCGTAGAGAGATTTCACTGTACATGTACCACATGTGTAGCCGATGTGTTCAAATCGAATCCAGAGTTTTTTTCCTTGGTCAACCCTTCATAAAACGCGAGCAACGAAGACACACACACACAAACAGAAAAAAACACACATCCGAGTATGAGATAATGTACTCACTACTTATCAGCCTGTTCGGAAGACACGCCCTGGGTTCCTTTTCCTATCCCAGCCACGCCTCCGCGATCCCGCCGATCCTTCTTTTTCCGGAACCCGGCTCGATCCCGACGAGGAATCCATCTTTCCGGGTCTGGAACCACATTCGGATCGAAGTTCTTGGGCACGGGCTTCTTCTTCTTCTTGTTCTTCTTCCGCTTCTTCTTTTGCGCATTCGCGTCGTCTCCACTGCAAAAAAAAAGTGAAGAAAAAAAGGGAATGAATGTGAGTTACAAACGCAAGAGAACGCGATTAAATTTGTGAAGTATATTTGACAATATTGATGTCGTACACTATCAAGGTCGCATTTCAAATACTACAAGAAATCCTGATGAACTCTAGACTCTCCTTCTTTTGTCTAAATTTCCACCCACTTAATGTTTACACGATTGATTCAAAAATGCACAATTTCATCGTTGATGATATCTCACAATTTCTCACATGGTCTCAGCGTAACCGGATGCGTCAAAAAATTGACTCACACATTCTCCAGTCACGCGAAAAATTAATCATTAATCTCGAGATCAAAGTAAACTTTCAAAAATGACGATTTCGAAAATAACTAAAAGAAGAAATTGACAAAAAATCGAAAATCGGGGAATGTCAGAACTTTTCAATTGTAAGCACAGAGGAAGAGGTGCTAAAATTTTGAGAAAAATCAGAATCACAGAAAAAGCATTAAATTTATACTGTAATTGCGTTTACTGTATGAACAACTGGGGGATACATTTTTCACTTCCTGCGCAAGTAAATCACGGCGAAAATTTATAATTACGGTCTCGTGTGAAGAAGAATAACATTTTAAATTCGGTTTATTCTCAACTTAGAATGAATTTTAAAATGTAAAGTCTAAAAAATGAGAAACATCACGAGCTATGTGATCACATGCAAGAAGAAATAAAAGACAGAATTAAATTTAAGGTTTCCCGAAACAAAACGGCGTCAATTTCCTTCTCAACTCTTCGGAAAAAAAATATAATTTCCGATTGGGTACAAAAAACTGACCCTTCAACGGGCGAAGATGGGGTACCAGGCGCAGCTACACCCCCGGGGGTCTGCTTTTTCAACAACTTCGTTCCAGCCACGGCCCAATTGGCTCTTTCTAGGGCTTCAACATCCACCTGTTTCACCAGGTCTCGGGGATCAGGCAAAGTTTTCGACAGTTCCTTGGCTTTCGATGCCCCGGACGGTCCCATGCTCGTGTATGCATGCATCAACTGCACGACAAATCTTTTATTTTCGGGTTCCAATTTCATCAGGGTTTCCAATGTCTTTGCAGCTTCCCCGGGCTTGTTGAGCTTGAAGTACAGTGCTGCTTGATGACGTAGCATGTATGGAGGTACCTGCGAGAATAGAAATTCAAACCACATCAATTCGAAACTTTGTAACTTGGATCGCGAACTAATTTATAAAATTATCGGCATTCTCTACATAAAAATCAATATACTGTACAACAATTTTGGAAAGTTTCTATGGCATTTTGGGACACCAATAAACAACACGAAAATATTGAAGACAACAAAGCACCATAAACTAACCGGCTGCTTGGACTTTTGAAGTCGACCGATGGCATCATTCAAGAGTTGAGACGCAGGTTCGAATTTTCCCAGAGAAACGTACAGGTTCACAAGCACAGATGCGACACCTAGACGCAAACGAACCTCTTTCGGCAACGATTCGAAAATTTGCACAGCTTCAGCTTTCTTGGTCTGGGGAAATCAATGATCAATGGATGAGTAAGTCTTAAGGAGTGACATCCTTTGTCACAGCACAATTAGCTGGCATTAAATCCAGGGCATAATAAGAGAGGAAAGTTCACTTAGGGGACACACTGTTCACGATTGATTTCACGAAGCAATTCACTGATCGCAATGAAAAAACGTACCTCAGCAAGAAGCAACTGAGCGGCAGCCAAATTATTCTCAAGCCTGTCCTCCGGAGTCCGACTGGATTCACTAAGCACTTTAACCGCATTCGAAGAGGCCTTCTCCTTCCAAAACGACGCAGCTCGGAGTCTCAACAAAACACCAGACAATTCCGGGTACAATTCCACAGTTCTCTCGCCCAGTTTCCGACACTGTTCCATCTGATGGACATGATACGCGAGAACGCAATGATTGAAGGCCATGGAGGATCGCTGACGTCTAGTGAACTTTTGTGCCACGGTTTCCAGGTCCTTTTGAGCATCGGGGCCCGGAACAGAACGCATTTTTTTCTTGGAGTCAAAGATGTTCTGCTCGCGATTGATGGCAACGATGTTGTTGCAAGCAACAGCGAGCAGCGCTGGATCGTCTGGCCTCGTTTTCAACACGGCGTTGTACATGGCGAGGGCTTCTTTTTCACGTTTTTGCAGCTGAAGACAATACGCGAGTTGGACCCGGATGACAGCGAGTTCGGTTTCGATCTCTTCTTCCGTGAGCTCGTCTTCCTCGAGGCTCGATCTACACGACTTCTCCGCTTCTGGAATGATCGAAGAAGTTCACAAATCTTATCCACAGTGAATTCGATGGGATACTTGCCTCTGAAAACCTGCTCTGCTTCCGCAAGTCTTCGTTTCGCGATCAAAGCACACCCATAATTGTATTTCTGCTCGTAAGTTTCGCTTGTGTCCGCCCCGACATCCTGTTCCTCGCCTTCGATGATGAGCTGGGCGTGAACTGCGGCTAAATTAGCGTTACGTTCGTCCTCGTAGTCGTCGGCACTTTCGCGGATCAGTCTCTTGTAGACTTGTTGACAGTCTTTGAACCTTTCGAGTCGGTACAGGATTTGACCCTTGAGTTCCATGATTTTAAGCTGGCTCTCATCTTGTCCGGACAGGGTTTCCAGAGCTTCCGAGAGGTTGTTCAGGCGATAGTGGGCATAAGCACATTCGAATGCTAACTCTCTGAAAATAAATACATGACACTCGAAAAACAATTTGCGGTTATGGAGATTGTCGGGAGCTCACTTTGCAAATTTGGACCGTTCCACAGTGGAAACTACGTCCTGGAACTTGCTCAGTTGCAAATACGCAACGACCTTGCATTTCCATACTTCGAATTCCCCAGGATTCTCGTTCAAGACTGGAATCACAACAATAGCTATCCATGAAGAGTTCAGAATCTAACACAGGTAGTGAACTCACTTTTGTTGCACGTTTTGATGACCCTCTCATTTTCGCGACTTTGCGTAAACTTGGCGAGCTCGGCATAAGCAACAGAAAGATCTTGCTTATGAGTCGGCATGCCGAGATGATTCACGATGTTCCGAATGAACTGTCGGAGTAAAGATAATTCTTGAGTTTCTGAGTATCGGTTCTTAAACCGCGTCTCTCAAATTCAAAACAGATATCACTTAAGAGGGTCTTCCCCTTTCCGGACAAGTCACCGAAGTCACGAAAACTATGTCACATCGGAAGAAGTTTTCACGAGTTTCATCATGTTTATTTTTTGGCTGCAGGGTGAATTTTAGGACACACGTGGAAAAAGTACGTGTTCACGCCGATTCGCAATTTTCCCGCTAGGGGGATATTCCCCGTAAGAATTACGATGTTCTGTACTGCCAGATGCATGTCCGGAGGGACAGCTTTCACGCAGGAGCTGACGTTTAATATTCAAATGCTGATTGATGATACAACTCAGAAATTCAGGCCCGAGGTCAATCTCAGAAGGAGAAAATCATCACTTTGAAGAATAAAGCATAGCTCAAATGTGCATGGACAGTGACTTCAGTTCAATAAGAATCACAACATGATTCAAGAACAGTCACTGATGTACACCAGTCCAGCACGATACCTGTACTTGCTATCCAAAAAATTATTGAATGTGTAACAAGCACCCTGTTCGCACAACAATCGCCAAAATTAGGGAAATATTCGAATAGTCTCTTTAAAATAATAATTTGCAAGCAATGCATGCAGAACTTCTCTTGCCACATTTTTGGGGGGACGAGAAGTTGTAGACTTGCAGACCATTACTGCACCTTCAATAAAAATTATGTTTATTTGGCCACAGCTCAAATCAAATTTATGGGCCATCAAAATTGAGAAAGATTCGATTGACACAACCTTTGGTACAAGCGTACAATAAAAGGAGAGCTGCGTACAATGAAAAGAACTTCATGTATTTCTCAATGTGAACTAGAATATCAAAACTGAACAGATGAGATCACTCCAAAAAAATGTTCATGGTCGCCTTTATGGTTCCTTCCACTTCATTTATGCGTCATCCGCAGTCAGCTCCAACTTTCAGACTCTCTGTGAACCAGAGAAAGAAGAATATAACACCATGCTTGAAATAAACAGTGATGAGTCATTTCCTCATTTTCTAGTTGATAGAAAATTACAAGAACATAGTAGTAGATATATCAAAATGATGGAAATTACCACACAGGAGTATAATCTGAATACTGCACTACTCAGTAAACTTCAGAGTTATTCTTACCACATTCCATCCTCATTATTTTTTGCAGCATTGCAGGCATAATAAATGAACACTGCCAGGTGGAGATGACTGATGATGAGTCCAAAATCTCAAGATTGCTCAACAGCTCCAGCACTTGCAAACAGTGTTAGACCAGAACATCTTGTTCCTGTGGATAGGCACACAGCATAATTCCCTGCAACATTTGTGCCAGAAAAAAATATACATTGAAACCAATTTATCATGACATTTCCAACCTCACCAGCTCATTTTTGGCAACTTCCGCATGGTTCTGTTTTGCTTGCTGGGAATCCATCCTGATTCCCAGCCCATCAGCTAAGTCTGATATACAAAGGCTTTGACTGCTGGGAATGTGCACTTCGTCAGGTGAATTTGTCAGATCACCATCACAGCTCACAATGCCAAATAGCTCTACTAGTAAAATTTTCTTCGGAGACAGCATATGGAGTCTGATTCAAGCCTCAGTTTTCAATTGAACAAATTTTTAGCGTGGCAAAGCCACATGGAGAATGCAAACCAGGAATTCAAAGTTGGAATGGATTGAGCATATGCTCTCACAAATAGTCCACATTTTTAAGAAAGACATACACAAAATAAAGCAAGGGAATGCTATAATGACCAATTCCTTGCCTGTCTCACACAAACTTCCAAGTAATACAAAACTTCAGGAGCAGATCCACAAATAAATTGGTGTTCTACAAAAAACAATTAATGTGTAACTTTTGAAGCACCAATCTTTCTATGCTTTCAGGACATCTAATAAAGCACTGAATTCAACTGTGACATTCCAATATTCGAAAAATAAAGTAAAAAAAATTAATTCATTAATTCTAGACATTGATTTACTTATGAAATGAATGTCCCATTTTAATAATCACCACCAGTCTGATGAGATCAACAGTGCCTAGAAAATCAGCCAGAAGTTCAGTGCTAACTATAGAATAGAGAATATAAAGCATCAATGCAATTTTGAACATGAAATAAGGGAACATCTCCCATATTTTTTGCACAAAAAAATTCAACTCAACGGATGCTGGACGGATGAATTTCATCTGGCAAACCCCCCTCCACCTCCTTTCTTGAGCCAAATTACCCATTTGAGCTCTTTTCCAGTAACCATTAGACAATGAAACAAGCACCAACCCTTCATGATATCCCATATTCTAAAAAAATTGCCTTTTCTACAATTTTTTTCTATGTCTGACTTGTATCCAAAATTTTCAGAACCATGGAGTATATGTGATGAAAATTCTTGAAAACCCCCAGGAACCTACTCAAGCTTTAAATCTCTCAAGTGTTGCCCTAATATTGCAATAAATATGATTGGTGACTGCTGAAAACAGCATAAAATACCAACAACGAAAAACCTCACACAGCAAAATTTGCAGTTCACGGTATCTCACATTCTGATATATTCCTTTCCTTTTTCCATGCAGCTCTAGAATTTTTTTTTAATTTTCTCACAATAATATCAGCACCATCAATGATGGGGAGGCCTTTGATAAAAATATTTCAAAAACCCCAGCAATTTAAATTCTCTAATCTCTTCACAAAGATAAATCACTTGAAAGAACACATTGGTGGACAATTAAAGCCTCCATAAATTGCTCCACTGCAAAAAAACTGTCACACATAACCAGCAATATATCTAAAATTCAAAATTAATCATCCAAAAGTTATTGAAAAAAAGATAAAAGACTTCCATTTTGTGTGCATGAATAATTCAGAGTCCAACAAACTCTTTCTGGGATGACTAAAAGGTGCTGCTTGAATCTATCACCTGATATATATATTTATATATACAGTATAAGGCAAAAAGTTGAATCAACCAAAATAAGTGAGCCAAAAAAGATAAGTATAATTTGAACGTTGTGCTAACAATATTATGAAGCATTTTGCTTTGGCTGAATTCCATGGAAGTTCAAAATAACAGATGGAAAAAGCTGTTTTTTTAAAGACAGAATTTGTTTTATTTTTTATTTTTTAATGTTATATATTGCCCATGGGTCATCATCAGCAGTTCAGATACCCAATTAATGGGTAAATATCAGCAAACCATCCAGAGCCTAACCCTACATTGTTTGATATAAAGTACACATTTTTCTCACAAAGAACCAACAATTTTCCAAGAGACTCAAACACAGATGCGTTTCAAACACTAACAAAAATTTTTCAATAGATTTGCTAAATTCTTGCGTTGCAGTAAAATCGAAGTGCATTTTTTCTGAGTATGGCAAATACATTCACAGGTTTGGTAGAACATTTCTTTGCAAACTGTGAGTTCATTGAAGCTCACGACTTGATGGGTTCTACATACAGTTATATTATAGATGGCAAGCTCTCCTTCGGTAACTTCAAAACAGTTCATTGTACTGTATTTAAGCAACAATTTTTTCTTTTAAAAAATTAGATGGAAAAAAACGCACGCCCAACAGGAAAATTGTATCTTCATAAAGCTATGCTGCTGAGTCTTCATACTCCTGAGACCTTTTTGTTTCACTAACCCTAACCCAGCAATAACTTAGACCACATGAAATGCAGCAGTAAGACCCATGCCCACATACCTTTACAAAATCGCAGAAGTTTTGAAAAAAAAGCTGATTTAGCCTAATACAGGTGAATTCTCTGACTGAAGAAACAACTAAGCTATTTACGTTTGGAAATGCTAACAATAAATTCCATTGTAAAATACCCTAATGTATGATTAAAAAGGGCTAATTTTTTGCTTATTCTTTCAGTTTTTTTTTTCATAATTTGTGCTCAGTATTTTTCTTGTTACAGTATTTGCTTCTTGAGCTCCTTCTGATGTCAAAAGATTGGATTCTGGGTGGATTTCTTCCGTACATTTATTTTCTGCTTCTTGAAGTTTAGAAAAAAGGATTTTATTCCATTTTCGAAGGCCTTTTTCTTAACTATTCATCTACAACAGGAGTGAACTAATTAAAAATATCCCCTAAAAGGTCTATGGGAAAACAAGGCAGACATTCTGACTCAGGGACAATAAGGTTCATATGCACCAATTACATGACCATCTCGGGGTACCACCATATATTTAAGTATATTAATGAAACCCTTTCATCATTTTTCGAGGGGAAAAAAATTAAAAAAAAAAGCCCTTCCATATCGACGTCGCCGTCCTCTTTTCGTTTTCCTTTTCTTCTCTTTTTTTTCTTCAGGGAAAGTCAGGCAGCAGCATGGTAACCGGAAAACTGCGCCGGATCCCCAAGCACTTTTCCCGATCAATCACTATCGAGTTATTCTTGCACTTGAGGTCCGCCTCCAGCTGGGACCTGGCCCGCAACAGCCGCTGCTGCGTCATCTCCGCGGCGTCCAACTGGGCCCGCAGCGCCGCAATGGCTGCCTGCAGCTCGTGCACCTCCTGCACCAGACACGCGTGCGGCGGATCTCGACACAACTCCACCCGGGGGCGATGGACCCGGTTCTCCAGCCGGGTCTGGGCCACCTTCAACGGCGGCAACTTGTCCTGCAGGGACCGGTTGAGCTGGGCGATTTGCTTGTCCACGTCGTAGAGTTCTTGGGCGACTTTGGCGTAGTGGTCTTGGAGTTTGTTGCGGGCGTCCGTGGTTTCCGAGAGGCGGACGCCGAGGGCGGCGTTGGAGCGCTCCCAGGCGGCGTGCATGTCCGCAGTGGCGGCGTTGATGAGGCTGTGGTACTTGGCCCGCAGGTGTTGGGAGTTGGAGCGTTCGCGTTGCGAGCGTTGCACGTTGCGCTGCGAGAAGCTGGCCCAGGTTTCAGGCACAGACTGACTGCAAAAAAATAGAGAAAAACCCAATTAAATTCCTAGTAAAGTTATAGATAATAAAATATTGCATTAAAATAAAATTTACTAAATATAGCTATAGTTTATACGAGGCTTTGTTTGTAAAAGATGATAAACTGCCACTTGCCATCATTGGTAGCGGATGCAATTTTTTCTTTTGCTCTTCAATTTTCTTCCATAGCTGAGCAATCAATGAAAAATTTGTCATCAAAAACTATGAGAACAATTAAAGGGACTGTGATGATCAGTCACTGTCAAGCTTTATTATTATAGCTGAGGACTTGAATCAGAGGTTATTTAAATTGTTTTCTGCAACTTCCAAAGGAAACGCAAAAGTTAATTCATGAGTATAATAAATGAGTTTATTTTATCCTTCACACACAGGAGATACAATACAATTGCTGGGGAGCAAAGCGGCGTGAACAAGGTGTCTGGTCAGAGTCAGGTGCAGTAAACTTAACGCAACGTAAAATGCACCTGTATATATAGCTTTGGCCAGCCAAGGTCAAGGATACCAAAAATACACAGAGACCAATTCAGATTGAGGGTGCATCATACTTTGTTTCTTTAAAAGAAAAGGAGTGTGAATGCGCCTGAGAAAGTATTTGGTTGGCAACGGGATTGTGAAATATAATTACCAGCGCACCAGGCACAACCTAGCGTAGCAGAAATACATTAAGTAAAAAGGGTTTCACAGAAAGTGTTTTTATATTGTAGTCAAGGATATGACTACAAATTTATTAGACACCAATCAAGGATTGAAGAGCAAAAGAAAAAAATTGGTTAGACACCAATGAATAATTGAAGAGCAAAATAAAAAAAAATTGCATCCGCCTCCAATGAAGACAAGTGGCAGTTTATCATCTTATACAAACAAATTCTTGTATATGAAAGAAGAATTCCGCTGAAGAATTTTCCACAGCTATAACGAGTGAGTTCACAAATATTATAAGGACAAGTTTCCATTCTACAGAAAGACTTCCTCTGCAACAATCTTGTCTAAATTGATTTTTTGTTCTGGATAACGAATTTTGCTTTGGTCCCATCAGTTTCTCAACCTATGTTATATACAGGGGTTCTCTACAAAAAAATAACTTCTCTTGACAATACATTTTTGTGATTTTTCTTTGGTCCCTTGATTTTTAAGGTAGGTGAGAGTTCATCTGTATAAAAAAGTTTCATTTTACCAAATTCTATTATAACACATTTTTGTTATAAAGTAGTTTCATAAACGCTTATTTTCATCATGTAACAGTTTTGTGATGAATATTTCTCATAATGACAGATTTTGATCATAACACGTTTTTACTACAATGCATTTTCATTTTTCTACAGATTTTCACAAAAACTTTTTATTAAAAATATGTTTTCCATACAATTAATTTTTCATTATGAGGAAATTTCCAAAAGTCCAGGGAAAGAAAGTCTTGGAAACAATGCTAAATAACTAACAGCAAAAGTTTGTTGCAAAATTCTTCGTATTCCTTGGAAGTTTTTAACATTAAAACTGTTTGTTAAACGGTATTATTATTTACAACTCCTTTGTCCGTTACTCGCGAGACTTCACGAAGGTGTTGTATTTACACTACTTAATAGTAGTAAATGAATACTTTTTATGAAATAATAGGGAACAATTTAACATACAGTACAAGTATGATTTTTAAGAAATCTTTTTTTTCAAATTCCCCAAAAATTCCTCTAAAAATCCCTATACATTATATATATACCTGGGATCTTCCTTCTCAATGTTGTTGAAGAAATAAATGCCTCTGGAGTGGTTGTGAAGCCGCTGGCTGACCTGATCAATGCTCAGTGCAGTGAACTTATTGTCTTCATCTGACCTGAGCAGCCATTGGGCCTCTCGCATGGCTTGCAGCTGAGCATCCACACACCTCAATGCTTCCTGCAGATCCCCCTGGCAACTGTGAATCACCTTGGACTCACCAGACAGACAATCTTGCACTTTGTCATGCACCAAATCAATGCCTGTGAATAATATAGTGCAAACAATGAAATGAGAAACATGTCATCCATGAGGAAATTATTAACAGAACTATCATTTTTTGTCATATACAGAATGGACCAAAAAATTGAAAAAATAACAAATCAAAGAGTTAATTTTTTACAGAGCTATGTTATGTATTAAAAATTGGTTAAAAATTTGACACACCAGAATTGCTTGATTTGAAGGCAAAAAAGAAAATTGAGAGAAATCTTTAAAAATTCTGATCATTGCAAAAGGAAAGCATGTATGAACAGCCCAAAATTTATTTGAAAAAATGCATGAGAAAATGATTTTTATACTGCATCATCATATCTAGGCAGGTAATTCTGTCAGCATAAGGGTCTTTTTTTACAATTCAAGTAGGAAGAAAACTGAGAGAAATTTTGAAAATTCAAATAATTTCTTGGGAAATGATGGATAAACCATCAACAAATTACAGTACAGTACTTCTCAACTAGTCTTGAATATATGCATTATACTTTGATTTTTACATCTCCATGTCTACGGTTCTTCTGCCAGGACCTTTAAAAATTCTCTTAACACAACAAATAATGCACTTTATTAGGATTTTCTTCATACAGTTGAACCTCAACAACTTCCATAAGTCAAATCACTGCCTATATGTCAAGTCTTTAAAAGTCCCTGCCTGGATTCCCTTAGAAGCAATGAATTGCTAACTACACCTCCCTAACTCAAGGCTTTTCTCATCAAACCTCAAGAACTCAAATTTACTACTTAACCTTTTCAGCCATTATTTTATTGACAGATGTAAAAGAAAAGAAATTGAAAGTAAACTTGATGTACTGTATTTTGAAAGGAAATGAAAGACTAATTGGGAAAATGAACCCTTGCCTCTAAGTTCAGCATCATGTCAACTCATAATTTAATAACCAATTCAAGGCCTATATAGAACATCATCAATCACTGAAAATTTTCTGAAATTCTCTTTCCCCCACCCCCCAAAAGAATGCTTGCTGTTTCCCTAATTCAAAAACCTCCCTTACTCGAATGTGTTAGCTGGTCCCCGGAAGTTCGATTTTTAGATGTTCAATTATACTGTATAGGAAAAGAATCCAAAACTTGAATAAAGTTATAATGTTTTTTTTTTAACCTTGGCGTCCTTCTCGCGACAACAGACAATGTTGAACAGCCTGCATCGGGGTCTCAGTCTCGGCCAGGGCCCGACACAAATTCTTCCTCAGCTCTTCCAAAAGACCCGTTTCCGCAGCCAGTTTATTGCTTTCTGCCTGGAGCTCTTCTTTCCAGAACTTGAACAGCACTTACGCAAGGGGCTCGGCAGACGGTCAGAGCAGAACCCGGGAAGACCGGTCGAGAAGCCAAAGGGACTACTCAGAAGCCCGAAGGCGTGCGTAGCTGAGCCGAAGACGAGCGCACAACAGCGAGAGATTGAAGTGCTGGAGATTGGAGGCCAGCCATTCTTGGTCAGTGTGCCTGGAATATATATATATGCGTATACAGTACATGAGACCCCGAGATGCGGACGAAATTGGTGTAGGACACAGGTAGAATTAATTAACGAAAGAATGTAGTCTAAGACGGGGAACAAGAAATCAGGAATTTATGGAATGTTGCGCAGTGGGAAATCCGCGGTATTTCACATTGCACAATCTTTTAGAATAATATGAATAATTCTTTCAGCTCATGCACTGTTCATCAAGTCTCCAAAGCATTTGGTTGTCTTTGAGAAGTGTATTCTTAGTGTGAAATTTCCAAGTCCGTTTTTATCTGATTTATCTCTTTGATTGTTGATCATATTGAAATATAATCTAAAATTCTTTATTCTTTTGGAGATTCTACCAAGAATCTCCCTGCCAAGTTCCCCGGCGGCTTGCTGAGTTTTATTCATTATTATCCTTCTCTCTCTAATTTGAATCTTCTTAAAACATTATCAATTTTGTCTTTGTATTGTTTACAGT